GAGCTGACCTTGTTAGTGAAGACAGAGGCAAAAAAAGCATTGAGTACATTAGCTTTTTCCACATCCTCTGTCACTAGGTTGCCTCCCTCATTCAGTAAGGGGCCCACACTTTCCTTGGCTTTCTTCTTGTTGCCAACATACCTGAAGAAACCCTTCTTGTTACTCTTAACATCTCTGGCTAGCTGCAGCTCCAGGTGCGATTTGGCCCTCCTGATATCATTCCTACATGCCCGAGCAATATTTTTATACTCTTCCCTGGTCATATGTCCAACCTTCCACTTCTTGTAAGCTTCTTTTTTTATGTTTAAGATCCGCTAGGATTTCACCATTAAGCCAAGCTGGTCGCCTGCCATATTTACTATTCTTTCGACTCATCGGGATGGTTTGTCCCTGTAACCTCAACAGGGATTCCTTGAAATACAGCCAGCTCTCCTGGACTCCTTTCCCCTTCAAGTTAGTCCCCCAGGGGATCCTGGCCATCCGTTCCCTGAGGGAGTCGAAGTCTGCTTTTCTGAAGTCCAGGGTCCGTATCCTGCTGCTTACCTTTCTTCCCTGCGTCAGGATCCTGAACTCAACCAACTCATGGTCACTGCCTCCCAGATTCCCATCCACTTTTGCTTCCCCCACTAATTCTACCCGGTTTGTGAGCAGCAGGTCAAGAAAAGCGCCCCCCCTAGTTGGCTCCTCTAGCACTTGCGCCAGGAAATTGTCCCCTACGCTTTCCAAAATCTTCCTGGATTGTCTATGCACCGCTGTATTGCTCTCCCAGCAGATATCAGGAAAATTAAAGTCACCCATGAGAATCAGGGCATGCGATCTAGTAGCTTCTGTGAGCTGCCGGAAGAAAGCCTCATCTACCTCATCCCCTTGGTCCGGTGGTCTATAGCAGACTCCCACCACTACATCACTCTTGTTGCACACACTTCTAAACTTAATCCAGAGACACTCAGGTTTTTCTGCAGTTTCGTACCGGAGCTCTGAGCAGTCATACTGCTCCCTTACATACAGTGCTACTCCCCCACCTTTTCTGCCCTGCCTGTCCTTCCTGAACAGTTTATAACCATCCATGACAGTACTCCAGTCATGTAAGTTATCCCACCAAGTCTCTGTTATTCCGATCACGTCATAGTTCCTTGACGTCACCAGGACCTCCAGTTCTCCCTGCTTGTTTCCAAGGCTTTGTGCATTTGTATATAAGCACTTGAGATAACCTGTTGATCGCCCCTCATTCCCAGTATGAGGCAGGAGCCCTCCCCTCACAGACATTCCTGCCTGTGCTTCCTCCCGGTATCCCGCTTTCCCACTTACCTCAGGGCTTTGGTCTCCTTCCCCCGGTGAACCTAGTTTAAAGCCCTCCTCACTAGGTTAGCCAGCCTGCTGGCAAAGATGCTCTTCCCTCTCTTCATAAGATGGAGCCCGTCTCTGCCCAGCACTCCTCCTTCATGGAACACCATTAGACCTGCTTCTTTGATTTAGGGACAGGCCAATTTTGGCTAGCATTTACCTTAGCCTGTAGGGGCTTGATAGTGCCTTTGGACCACCTGGTGTCCAAAGTATGTTAGCCTGTTTAGGCCTATTTGACACTTTTTGGCCTTAACAGTTAATCCTGCCTCCCTTATGCGCTGGAAGACAGCTTGGAGGTGTTCTGCCCATGAATCTGAGAATATAGACACAATGTCAAAGTCGGCGACTGTAAATTCCCCAAATCCAGCCAGAAGGTTATCTACCATTCTCTGGAAGGTGGTGGGTGCATTTCGCAGTCCGAAAGAGAGCACATTAAATTCATACAGCCCTACATGGGTGATGAAGGTTGACCTTTCCTTGGCTGGGTCATCTAGCGGCACTTGCCAGTACCCCTTAGTTAAGTCTAAGGTGGAGATGAATTGGGCACATCCCAGTTTCTCCAGGAGCTCATCTGTGCATGGCACTGGATAGTTTTCTGGGTGAGTTACAGCATTTAGCTTACGGTAGTCAACACAAAAGTGAATTTTCCCATCTGGTTTAGGAACCAGAAGCACTGGAGAGGCCCATGCCCTCTCAGAGGGGCAGATTACACCCATCTGTAACATGTCCTTGATCTCCCTTTTTATTGCGGTTTTGGGTTGAGGAGCCGTTCGGTAGGTTTGGGCTCTAATTGGGCGAGCATCGTCTGTGTCAATGGAGTGGTACATCCATTCTGTCCGTCCTGAGTTGGCTGAAAACATTGGCACAAAGCTGGTGCACAGCTCCTAGATTTGCTGTCACTGCTTACACTCAAGGGTCATGGAAAGGCACACCTCTTCCATGCAACCGTTGCTTTTTCCATCATAGTAGACTTCTTCAAGACACTCAGCGTCATCTCTCCTGGGCTGTAAACTGGAGAACCTTGATTTCTTGGGAATAAAAGGGCTTTAGAGAATTAACATAGTGTACTTTAGGTTTTAGGGTAGGGTCTGGGAACGCTATGAGGTAATTAACAGCTCCCAGGCGCACTCAGACCATAAATGGCCCCTCCCACAATGCTTCCATCTTATTGGCCTGGAGCACTTTCAGGACCATGACTTGGTCACCTACTCCGAAGGAATGCTTTCTGGCGTGTTTATCATACCAGGCTTTTGCTCTTGTTGAGCATCCTGTAGGTTTTCTTGAGCAAAGGCGAGAGAGTTTCTGAGGGTGTTTTGCAGATTGGTTACAAAGTCCAAAATGTTAGTTCCTGGAGAAGATGTAACCCCCTCCCGTTACTGCTTTACCAACTATAATAACCCCTTAACTTCGTGGCCATAAACGAGTTCAAAAGGTGAAAATCCCAAACTGGGATGTGATACAGCCCTGTAGGCAAAGAGCAACTGCTACAACACTAGGTCCCAATCATTGGAGGGCTCATTCATGAATTTATGTATCATGACCTCCCAAGTCCCATTAAACTTTTCTATTAGGCCATTTGTTTGATGGTGGTAAGGGGTGGCAACCAAGTGGTTTATCTCATGAGCTTCCCAAAGACTTTTCATGGTCCCTGCCAGGAAGTTAGTTCCCAAATCTGTAAGGATGTCGGAGGCCCAACCTACCCTGGCAAAAATGTCTGTCAATGCCTGGCTCATGCTTTTAGCCCTGGTGTTGCTTAGAGCTCCTGCTTCCGGCCATCGGGTGGCAAAATCTATGAAAGTCAGTATGTACTGCTTTCCTCTGGGTGTCTTCTTAGGGAGAGGACCCAGAATATCCACAGCTACCCGCTGAAATGGAACCTCAACGATGGGGAGTGGCTCAAGAAGGGCCTTGACCTGGTCCTGGGGCTTTCCCACCCTCTGGCACACCTCACAAGACCGGACAAAGGTAGAAACATTCTTGCCCATTCCCTCCCAGTGGAATTACTTCCCCAAATGGTCCTTGGTCTTGTTCACCCCAGCATGGCCACTGGGGTGATCGTGGGCTAAGTTCAAGAGCTTTTCCTTATACTTAGTTGGAACTACCAACTGTCTCTGACGTTGTCAATCCTCCTTGTGCCCACCAGAAAGAGTCCTCCTTCTATAACAAATCTGGACCTGTTAGAAGAACTGAGAGGTGGTGGGTCGCTCTGTGCCACCATCCAAGCTCCCTTGAATCTCTCATCCGCTTCCTGCTCTGCCTGGAACTGCTCCCTTGATGCTGGAGACATTAGTTCCTTTCTGGGTTGTGGACTTGGGCTTGGTCCCACTGGAAGCGATGCAGGTGATGGGGTTTCTGTTGACTGTGAACCACTCTCTGCTGGTGCACTAGGTGGTATTTCAGGCTCCGGTTGAGCCTCTTGCATTGATTTAGCTGCTGCTGGAGGTGCAGGCTCTGTGGCACCCTTTGGTGCTGGCTCCCCTGACTCTGGTGGGGTTGCAAGCATGGGCTCTGGTGCTGACTGCTCCGCCAGTTCCAATCCTTGGGCTCGTTCTGGCTGGGTCCCAGGAACTGGATCTACAACTGTTGCCATAGACTCTGGTCTGGAGTCTCGTTCCACCAGCTCTGGCTGAGTTCCTGTAGGAGGCTCAGGAACAGAGTTAGGTGTGGAGGCCTGTTTAGCCTGGCTGCAGGTGACCATCAAAGAGAGCTGCTCCCCCCCACTTCATGTATCACACTCCCATCTCCTCCTCCTGCTGGTTTCTGGGGCCTGGGGGCTGCAGCTGCTCCTAAGCTCCCCACCACCCTTCGACTGCTCACAGCTGGTAACAGTCATGTTGTCCAGGCTGGGGTTTGTATATCCCATGTCACACCCTCCCCCTTTAAATGTCTCCCAGGGAGCCTGCCCTGGGGTGGGGGTGTTAGCTCCCTAACACCATCAGCCTGTCAGCCACTCAGGCCCTCTCCTCTGGGTGAGGCCAGCCCTGTCTTTGCCTTGCAGGTTAACAAGAGATGCATCCCTGTCCTTGAGTCCCTTTGAAACATTCCCCTGTGATATCCAACCCCTGATACTGGCTACTCACAGAAATCTCAGATCCTCTGCCCCCAAAGGAGCTGTGTACCCCAGTTTAACTTTAAACCACTGCTGCTGTAAACTACACAGCTTGTGAATGCTTGTAATGGAACAAAAGTAGGTTTATTTTAAAAGAATGGAGATTTACCTAGAAACGAGAGTGAGCGATAGAAACAAATGGTTACAATACACAACAAAATCATAAACCATGAACCTGGGTCAACATTTATTACTTGTTACCTCTCCTATCTAATAATGAAGTAGGTTTTCTGCCAAAAGTTCAGGCTGTTACAGAGCTGGCTGGCTTCACAGGAACCAGGAACTAAAACTTTCATAAAAACACCCTTATTCCACAAGATGTTTCCTCACTGAATGAATCCAGAGGACCTATCCTCATTCTGTATTATACTGAACCAGGCTTTGTTCAGAGGCAGGGTGATTCTGTCTGTTGTAATATCTCTTCTTTATCTCCAAGTGGTTTAGACAGTTTACAGTTGTCACTGATGGTTTTCCATGGAAAGTCTTGGGATGGAGCAAGGATTACATCACTGACTAACCAGGGTGAGTGGGCCATCATCAAGACATATTATTCCATGGTGACTAACTTTTATTCCAACTCCATGAAGCATACTTTCAATCTCAATACATTATTCTTTAAATATTACCTGTACATACATCTCACAATGATTATGAATCTTAACAAGTTATGAGCATTCTGTAGATACCTTACATGCTACTCTTATGGATCAATATTCTGCAAGATGTGTTTGGTGCAGTGAGTTTGTCAGGTCTGAGATCAGAATTGTTGGCAAAGAACAGGGGATCCTTTGCCAAGGAGCTTCTGTGTCACAAAGTCTTTTTCTCCCTGTTACTGAATATGCCCACTCCCAAGGGAACAGTTTGTTGCTCAGATAGAGTACAGTATCTTCCACTCCATTAACTACCTGGGATTATGTCAGTCTGCAAAATCAATTATTTTGAGAAGCTGGGACTGAACGGGACAGGCTCTTTGCATAGATGGTTTTTCAACTTCTCAAAGGCCCTTTTGCAGGCCAGTGAATCTTCCTGGGGGCTACTGTCCTTAATTAGGTTAATGAAGGGGGGCTGCTATCATAGAAAACCCTGCTACAAATCAGCAGTAGTAAACTGCATGTCCCCAAAACCTTCAGCCCTGTTTCTTTGTGGTTGCGATAGGGCATGCTTTGAGAGCCTGGACTTTGTCCACTAGGAGGCAGCCTTGGCCCTTCCCCAAAGTATATCCCAGTACTGGCCTTCTCTTTTCCAGTCCTACACTTTGTGGAGTTTGCAGTATTGGAGCTGATGTCATAATATGCTTTAAATCATTGAATACTCTTCCATATGGTGACCTTGTGGCAGAGACGTCATAGATGAATTGTGTGAGCTGTATAGTTAGGTATGAACTTGCTGACATAATGCAGCATGCCTAGCAGCCTTTGAATTCCCCTTTTATCATCAGGTGTTGGCCTGTTCAGTATTGCCTGAATCTTTGGTTCCCATTGTTGTCAGTCTCTTTCCCAAGAAGGCTATTTCCATGGTTTGAAATGGACATCATTTCAGTGTAAGATCCTTAGCTCCTGCAATTTCCAGTACTCTCCTCTGTGGGTCCTGATGTTCAAAGGCAATGCTGCCCCAAATCAGTATATTATCAATGTACACTATGACATCTGCCAGACCTTCCAGCATTTGGCTTACTGGACAGTGAATAACTGCTGGAAATGAACCTCTACAGAAAGGCAGCCTAGTCTTCAGAAGCAGTATCTGCTAATCAGTGGGTAATCGGTGTGTTGAAAGTGTAGATCTTGGAGCACTCTCTAAGACAGAGGTCCCCAAAGTGTGGGGCATGGTCCCCTAGGGGGGCATGGAGGAACATCCAGGGGGGCACGGCAGGACCTGGGCCATCCCCCACAGGAGGGCGGGGAGGGAGCGACACCGAGCCCTTCCCCGCCCCCAGCTCTGCTCCGGTCCCACTCCCAGCCATGTTCCTGGCCCTGGCCCCATCACCAGGCTCAGTGTAGCTCCACTCTGGGCCCTGCGCCAACCTCCAGTCTTGGCCACTGGCTGCGGCTCCATTCCTGACCAGCGACTGTGGCTGGGACGAAGGCTGGGAGCAGAGCCGCACCTGGCCGCAGACCTGGCTGCCAGCCCCCACCAGAGTCTGGCTATGACTCCGCTTCCGCCCCCAGCCTTGGCCACAGCCGTGCTCCTGGCCCCAGACCCACCCCCAGGCCTGGCTTGGGGGAGAGGTGGAGGGCTGGCAGGGGTAAGGGGGGGCGCAACCTTCAAAAGTTTGGGGACCATTGGTCTAAGAGGGTCTGCCACTACGTTGCCAATGCATCTAATTTGGTGAGGAGTTTGGCTCCTGCCATCTTAGACAGTAGTTCACTTCTTGTGGCCAAGTGTACTTTTTCTGGTTTTGTTCAGCACCTTAGGAACCATACACTGCCACAGTCTCCATCCTTTTTTCTCTACAGTTACTAAGGAGGGAACCCAAACTGCTGGCTCTTCGATTCTCCAAATCCTACCATTTACTGTCATATTTCACAGCTCTTCTACCCTCTTTCCTAAGGGGTGCAAAACTTTTCACGTAGTATGTACCATAGGTTCTGCATCTTCTTCTACCTGCCTTATGTCTGTTACTGGGAGGCATCTATTTCTTGTGAATACATCTTCATATGCTGCTCCTCATACTTTCATATCTGGTTCTGCGTTGTCTTTCTGTCTATCTGAGGTATGCATCCTCTTAATGAGACCAAACTCCTGACGCATGTGTAGGCCCAAGGCTGGGCTGGCCTCTGGGTACCACCACAAACTCTTGTTTTATCATTTTCCATTTGCATTGAAGCGTCAGCGTGCACTTTCCCAACACTGGAATTGTTCCTTCATCATAGTCTTCACAGATGTTTTTGACTCTTCCACCTTTCCATATTCCTTTTATCTCTCTATTTCAGTTTGTGTTACTACATTTATTTGTGCACCAGTGTCTATCTTGCATCTTGCCAATCTTTTGAGTTTTCACCCTCCTCTATTTGCTTTAGAACAGCAGTTCCTTTTCTCCTGAGGAATCCCTTTCTGCACTTAATACATAAACTTTCCGGCTTTCTCTCCACATTTTAGTATAATGGTTGGGTTTATTATAGTTTCTACATATTTGCCCAAATGCTGGATATTTTCTATAATCATACTGGTTGCCACATCACTGACGTTGTTTCCTGCTTTCCATTTTCTGTCCCTGGCCAATTGATTTTCTGGGAACTTTTCGCTTGTTGATTTAGCTATAGAAGCCAAAGCAATATGCTCTGTGCGTCTCTCTAGACTTTTTGTTTGCCTTTGTTTGTCTGCTGCTTGGCCTATACATAGGGCCCTTCGTTTTCAGTTTTTGTTTAATTTAATTTTTCCCGAGATTTTATCAGTGTTATTACCACAACAAAACCAGGTGAAAATCAGTGCAAAAAACTATTAATAACTTTTCTGGGTAAATATCGGGGTTTATTTTGGTGGACGGAAAGACTGGGGAGAAAAGTATTCAGTTGATTAATGCTTTGAATTCCATTTATTAGTGTGGTTTGCTGCAGAACTAAAACAGAACTCAAAACACAACATCACCACTGAGTTTAAGAAACAATGTATCTCTAATTCTCAAATAAGGCTTTTAATTTGAATAAACAGTTTACTGTTGTAGACTTAGAACTATTGGCCTATAAATGTTTACATATAATAATTGGGCCACACCATTTGCAGCACATACACTCAACTTCATCCCTTTCTCCTATTTTTGTTTTTTTTAAACTTTCGAATACTTCCTTGGTTCTGAAACATATTTGGATACATATTCAGATTTTTGTTTTCTTCCCATTTTAGTGTGTCAAATCTTTAACCTGTTATCTGCTAACAGCTTGAAATATATACGTGGTGGGTGAGATTCATTAGTACGTTCAGATGCGCACACAATTTGGCACTTGCGTGCCCGCCCGTTTATTGTGTGTATCTTCTAGACTAATACATAGGCTTACTTCAACAGGCAGCTTCGCATACACACACAAACTAATGTATGATCATAATACATAGATCTCATGCCATGTATGGTATTTCCCTAATAAAACATGTTATTTTTTATATATTTGAATGATACAAAAGTAGAGTGAAAATCAGGAAAAACGGAATAAAAAAAACCCGGAAATTTTTCAGTAAAAATCAGTTTAAACTGAAAACACAGGGGCTCACCTCTACATATTGCCCTTTCTAGTGACAGCTCCATCTTCCTTAATAACCATTCACAGCCTTTCTTGTTGTTACACCCCAGGCTACTCTGGTCTTGAATGAGAGAATCTTTTATGATTCCTTAGTCACAGGACTGACTTTTTAGCTTTAAATCTTTGACAAAACTCCCCTGTTGTTTCCCCTTCATTTTGTGTTCTTATCCGGACCCATCTCTCTCTCTTTCTCATAACTAACATTGTTTTCTAAGAACATAATGAGCCTCAAACATTTTCGATATTTCTGCACAACTTTCCTTTCTTTCTCCATCACCATCTGGGACTTCTGTGCCTGCCACGGTAAGGATCAAAGGAATCTTTGGCTTGGCCTCCACTTTATTTGTCCCTGTGGCTGGCTTTCATAAGCAGCTCAAACTGCAGTTTGAATCCTTTTCAGGCAAATCCAGATTTCCTCTGATTCTCAGGGCGGGTGGAGAAGTTACTTGTAAAGGCTCTGTAGCGGCCGTTGCAATGTGACTTCTCTCACTGGGTCTTCCAGCATGGTGGGTGCCTTCCACTGCTGGTACCATGTGGTATCTTTCTGATGAGCAGAAGTGTCAAGATCAATCCTTTATTATGGACATGATGTACAGCATGCAATGAGGTAACCAAACTGCCGACTGCTCTGTGTAGCTGCAGCCTGCAATTGTCCTGTCCTGAGCTGCTTTGTTTCTTCCCTCTCGCAGGAAAGGTGCCAAAGGAAAACCAAAAAGACTTCAGGAAGTGTCGCATCTCTATACTGACTCTAACGCACAGGTCCCACCAACCCCTTCTCCCCAAACTGAAACCATCCACCCCAGAGTCTCTAACTTACAGAGATCCCGGGGGGTGCTCAACCCCTGCTGTGTAGGCCCCGCCCCCACACCACCTCTTTCTGCCCCCCTCCTCCCACCTGTTCTTGCCCCTGCTCCTCCCACTCCAAAGCCTGCAGCACACCACAGAACAGCTGATTGCGGGAGGTGCTGGGGGAAGGGGGAGGAACCGATCGGAGGACCACAGACGGGCTGGAGGCACTCGGGGGGAGGGGGAGGCACTGACCCATAGGGCTGCCAGTGGGTGCTAAGTACCCACTATTTTTTTTCTGTGGGTGCTCCAGTCCTGGAGTTCTCTTGGACTCGGTGCCTATGCTTCATCCCCCTTGCTCCCCTCCCAAGAGCTTCCTCAAAGGAAGTATGTTTATACTTTGCTTCAGGAGGGCACAGACCCATTGCCCTGCTTTGAGAGCTCCCTTTGCCTCCTATCCTGTGTGGAGTTTCTGGTGGGAAATGAGGGAGTCCTTCACCTTGTAGCTTTTCCCACAGACAGAACATCGATAGGGTGCCTCTCCCGTGTGGACTCTCTGATGTACGATGAGGGCTGAGCTCTGAGTGAAGCTTTTTCCGCACTCAGGGCAGTCATAGGGTTTCTGCCCTGTGTGGGTTCTCCGATGCCTAATGAGTCCCGAGCTCTGACTGAAGCCTTTGCCACAGTCGATGCACTTGTAGGGTTTCTCTCCCGTGTGGGTTCTCCTATGTCTAATCAGGCCTGAGCTCTGACTGAAGTTTTTCCCACACTCTGTGCATTTGAAGGGTCTCTCTCCAACGTGGATTCTCTGGTGCGAAATGAGCTCCGAGCTCTGCTTGAAGCTTTTCCCGCAGTCAGCACATTTATAGGCTCTTTCTCCAGTGTGGTTTCTCTGGTGTACGATGAGGCTGAATCTTTGCTTGAAGCTCTTCCCGCAGTCGGCGCATTTATAGGGTGTCTCTCCCGTGTGGATCCTCTGGTGCGAAACCAGGTTGGTGCTCTGGGTGAAGCCTTTCCCGCAGTCATTGCATTTATAAGGGGTCTCGCCAGTGTGACTTCGGTGATGTACGATGAGGCTGAATCTTTGCTTAAAGCTTTTCCCGCAGTCGGGGCATTTATAAGGGGTCTCTCCCGTGTGGATTCGCTGATGTTTACTGAGGTCTGATCTCTGCCTGAAGCTTTTCCCACACTCAAGACATTTATAGGGTCTCTGCCCTGTGTGGATTCTCTCATGTATAATAAGATTTGATGTCTGAGTGAAGCTTTTCCCACACTCGGGGCAGTTATACGATTTCTTTTTAGTGTGGATCTTTGGCTGGATCATGGTCTCTTTACCATCCTTCAAACCATCTCCTGGATGAATGGATTCAGCACGTCTTTTCCTTGGCTGGTTTCCTTTCAGCCTTTCTGACTTGTGTTGACTCCCACAGGCTTCTCCTTGCTTGGGTCTCTGGGAAATATTTCCTTTGGATCTTCCCAATACCGTCCCGTGTGATTCCACTTCCTCAGGACCTTCCTGCTGAGGATTCTCCTCCTTAATCTTACTCATCATCCCATCACCTGCTGGGAAAGAGAGAGAATCCAGAAAGGAGTCATTCCCTGTGCCAGGGAGAAAAGGAACATCAGAAAGGGGAATGGGAACATAAAAACATAAGAACGGCCATATTGGGTCAGACCAAAGGTCCATCTAGCCCAGTATTCTGTCTTCTGACAGTGGCCAATGCGAGGTGCCCCAGAGGGAATGAATAGAACAGGTGATCATCAAGTGATCCATCCTCTGCCGCTCATTCCCAGCTTCTGGAAAACAGAGGCTAGGGACACCATCCCTGCCCATCCTGGCTAATAGCCACTGATGGACCTACCCTCCATGAACTTATCTAGTTCTTTTTTGAACCCTGTTATAGTCTTGGCCTTCACAACATCCTCTGGCAAGGAGTTCCACAGGTTGACTGTGCATTTTGTGAAAAAATACTTCCTTTTGTTTGTTTTAAATCTGCTGCCTATCAATTTCATTTGGTGACCCCTAGTTCTTTTGTTATGAGAAGGAGTAAACAACACTTCCTTATCTACTTTCTCCACACCAGTCATGATTTTATAGACCTCGATCATGTCCCCCCTTAGTCATCTCTTTTCCAAGATGAAAAGTCACAGTCTTATTAATCACGCCTCATATGGAAGCTGTTCCATACTCCTAATAGTTTTTGTTGCCCTTTTTTGAACCTTTTCCAAATCCAATATATCTTTTTTGAGATGGGGGTGACCACATCTGCACACAGTATTCAAGATGTGGGTGTACCATGGATTTATATAGAGGCAACTGATATTTTCTGTCTTATTACCTATCCCTTTCCTAAGGATTCCCAACATTCTGTTCGCTTTTTTGACTGTCGCTGCACATTGAGTGGATGTTTTCAGAGAACTATCCACAATGACTCCAAGATCTCTCTCTTGAGTGGTAACAACTCATTTAGACCCCATCATTTTATATATTTAAGGAAACAGGGAAAATAAATCAAAATAATTGCTGAATTCCTCTCCCCCCCAAACAAACAAACCCAAGAACTTCTCCCCAGAGGCAAGGAGAAACCAGTTCAATGCCATGTCGGGGGTGGGGGGAGGGATAGCTCAGTGGTTTGAGCTTTGGCCTGCTAAACCCAGGATTGTGAATTCTATCCTTGAGGGGACCATTTAGGGATCTGGGGCAAAAATTGGAGATTGGTCCTGCTTTGAGCAGGGGGTTGGACTAGATGACCTCCTGAGGTCCCTTCCAATCCTGATATTCTATGATTCTATGTCCTGAGTTAAAACTCTGAGGGAAGGGAGATACTGCAAGGTGTGAGGAAGGATGAGGAGGGGAATACTCAGCCTTGAGTAAATGGAACCACATGGAATAGTATCGGGAAGGACCAAAGGGAAAATTTCTCATACTCCCAGCAGAGGAATCAGCCAGGAAACAGTAAGGTTCGGAGGACCTTAATGCAACCATGATACAGCCACAAATCTTCACTAAAGAGAAATGATACAAACGTGCGGAGTGTGGGAAAATCTTCAGTTGGAGCTCAAGCCTTATTAGCCACCAGATGGCCTATCAGACATTGCAGTTGCAACAGAGGATCTTTCGAGACAATGGTTATCCCCGAATGGGACTTTCCATAGAGACCCCAGGCCTAATGCTTGCTGATGTGAGAGGACTGGGACATATTGACTGTATCTGGAAGGCACAGGCCACTGAACGAGTTATGAAGGTGGACCGTAGGATGGTGTAAGTGGGAATCATCCTCCACTGTGAAGGTCAAGACCCTGGAGAAGAGAGGTGTGCTCTCTCGGGTCACCAACAACATCTATGAAAAGAACCCTCTTAGTTCCCTTTGAGTATGAAGAAGTGAAGACTCCATTAATTGGCTATACCTTCCTGACCAGTCTGCTACTGTCTGAGAGAACTCTGTGGGCATCAAGAACCCTGACCAAGCTACTCCATCACCTGATTCCAGTAACTGCAGTCATGAGAGCGAAAGATCCTAAAGAACCATGCAGCAGGAGAACTGTGAACTCTTTTCTTGTCGTCGTAAGAGAGGGATACTTGTTAGGGTTTGAGGGTGTTTACTGAGTGAGTTTATATGTTTCTGGGAAATGGCACCATTAATAGTTCCCTAAACCCCAAGTCTGCCATCTACATCAGTGAGTGCTGCCCATGATATAGACATGCTACTGGGTGCTGCTATTGTTAGTTGTAAGCCTGGCTCGATAATCTCCTCTGTTGTGATATCATTTGTAAAACTCACATACTTTGTATGTGTGTGGCTGAGTAGTAAGAAGAGTAGAATAATAGCTATCTTGGTGAGATTTAAGAAGGAAGTAGTAGCAGTCAAGCTGTGGTTAAAGAAACCAATTTGGTCTCTGTACTTCCTTAAGACAAGACAAGCTCAATTTACCACTCCTTCATGGACTCTCTCTTGGTCAAGTTCTAAAGTAAAAAAAGAAACTCCTGGCCTACACTCACTAAACTGTGTGTCTACACTTAAAATGGTGCCACTATCGTGCTTCAGTTTAGACGCAACCTATGCTGATGGGAGGGGTTCTCTCCTCAGCATAGGTAATCCACCTCCCCAGGAGGTAGTAGCAAGGTCGACAGAAGAATTCTTTCATCAACCTAGCTCTGTTTACACTAGGATTTAGGTTTTCCTTTTGTCAACCTCAGGATTCAATTAGCTGCTGCATTAACCTGACATTATAAATTGATAATCCCAGCTAATGTCTTTGTTAACCCATCGATGTACTGAGTAAGGCCAGGTCTACACTAGAAACCTAGGGAGGTGGTGGAATCTCCATCCTTAGAGGTTTTTAAGGCCCATCTTGACAAAGCCCTGGCTGGGATGATTTAGTTGGGGATTGGTTCTGCTTTGAGCAGGGGGTTGGACTAGATGACCTCCTGAGGTCTCTTCCAACCCTAATCTTCTATGATTCTATGATTCTTACATTGGTTTAACTATGTCACTCAGAGATGTGAAAAATCCACACCCCTTTGTGACCTCACCCCTGGTGTAGACAAGACAGGAGGGTGGGAAATAAACTGAATTAACTGCTGGGGAGATTAAGAATCAGGAGCTGAATCCTGCCCCCAAATCGTTCTTCAGAAGACAGAGAGGAGGGAACCAATTTTGCCTCCACATATCATCCGAGTATTCAGAGGGAAGGGAGCTACTGCCAGGTGCCACTCAGGATGGGTGGGAAGCCATGCATGAGGTCTGCCAGGAGGATACAACTCCTGCTGGGGACAATTCTGACCTGGGTAAGATGAGGCAGAGGAGCGAATGGGGCCTTTGTGGGAATTCCAGCTGTTTACATCAACAATGGATGGTTTCTGTATCACTTTAACCAATTCCTCACCTGTGTGGGTGTTCCTCAGGGTCACACTTTCCTCAGAGTTCTGAGAGTCTGGGACCCACAGCTCTTTTCTCCATTTCCTCCAGGAGATCATGTCGGGCTTGGGAATTGGAAAACCTGCTCCTAGGAAAGAAAACAGGCAAGATCAAGGCTTCACAGTTGTGTAGCACCTTACATTTGTCTTTGTTGAATTTCATTTTGTCTGTAGCCCAGTTCTCCAATTTATCAAGATCCCTCTGAGTTTTTGCTCTGTCCTCCAAAGTATTTGCAACCCTCCCTAGCTTTGCATCATCTGCAAATTAGATCCATACACTCTCTATTTCTACAACCAGGTCATTAATAAAAGATGTTAAATAAACAGGACCCAGAACAGATCCCTGTGGAACCCCACTTGAGACCTCCCTGCAATCGGACATCATTCTATTAATAGTTGCTCTTTGTTTGCGGGTGTTTAACCAATTATGTATCCACTCGATGGTAGTTCTGCCGACCCCACATTTCTCCAGCTTTCCTGTCAGACTGTCATGTGGGACTGTATCAAAAGCCTTGCTAAAGTCCAGGTATATTATGTCCACCGCATTCCCCCCATCCACCAAATCAGTTACCTTGTCAAAAAGAAAGAAAGCTGGTTTGGCAGCATTTGTTCTTGGTAAATCCATGCTGGCTGCTAGTGATCATCCCTTCATCCTCCAGGTATTTGCAAATTGAATGTTTTATACATTGCTCTAGTAGCTTCCCAGCTATTGAAGTCAGGCTGACTGGTCTATAGTTCCCCGGCTCCTCCTTTTTAATGATGGCCACTACGTTAGCCCTTCTCCAGTCTTCCAGGACCTCTCCTGCCATCCATGAGTTTGCAAATATTATTGCCAGCGATTGAAATTTCTGCAGCTAATTCCTTCAGCACCCTGCGATTAATAGCATCAGGCCCTGTTGACTTGAATAGATTCAAATTAGTCACAAGATCTCTGATGTGTTCTCTACTTATCTTGATCTGCATCCCTTCCCCTTTATTGTCTATGGTAACTTTGCTAGTCATCCGCCCTGTTATTTTTTGTGAGAAGACAGAAGCAAAGTAGGCATTGAGCAGCTATGCCTTCCTATCACCTTCTGTTACCAACTCACCTTCTCCGCTGAGCAGTGGACCCACATCGTCCATGATCTTTATTTTCGTCTGACATATTTGTAGAACCCCTTCTTGCTGTCTCTAACGTTCCTTGCCAGCTGTAACTCATTCTTTGCCTTGGCTTTCCTGATTTGGTCCCTACACACTCACGCTATTCCCATGTGTATACTTCCTTGGTGACATGCCCCTCCTTCCATTCCCTGTACGTATTCCTTTGGGGTTTTAGATAGCTAAAAAGCTTCTTGTGCAGCCCCATTGGCCTCCTGTGGCTCTTCTTGTCTTTCCTCTGCATGGGAATAGCTTGATGTTGAGTATCTAGCATTACATCTTTTAGGAACTGCCAGCCCCCTTCTACTCCTTTTCTTCCCAATTGGTCTCTCCATGAGACCTTGCCTATTATTTCTCCGAGTTGGTTGAAATCCACCTTTCTGACGTCCAGTATCCTTGGTTTGCTGTTCTCATGTCTTCCTTTCCTTAGGATCTTGAATTCTATCAGATCATGATCACTTCTTCCCAAGTTCCTGACCACCTTCAGGTTTGCAACTAATTCATCCCTGTTGGTCAAAACCAGATCCAAAAGGGACGACCCCCTAGCTGTTTCCTCAACTTTCTGAATCAGAAAGCTGTCCCGTACACATGCTAAGAAGTTGCGGGACACACTATGTTTTGCTGTATTAGTCTTCCAGTAGATATCAGGGAAGTTAAAATCCCCCATCAGTACAAACTCAAGTGTTAGCTAATCCTGTTACCTGTTTGAAAAATGCCTCATCCACTTTCTCTTCCTGATTTGGTGATCTATAATAGACCCCCCACCATAACATTGCGAATGTTCTTTTCCCTTTTTATCCTCACCCAGATACCCTCAGTTAGTTAGTTAGTACAGTGGTTCTCAACCAGGGGTATGTGCCTCTCCTGGGGGTATGCAGCGGTCTTCCGGGAGGTACATCAACTCATCTAGATATTTACCTAGATTTACAACAGGTAAATCAGTACAAAAAAATTGCATACCGACAATGACTTGTTTATATTGCTCTATATCAGGGGTCGGCAACCTTTCAGAAGTGGTGTGCCGAGTCTTCATTTATTCACTTTAATTTAAGGTTTTGCGTGCCAGTAATACATTTTAACATTTTTAGAAGGTCTCTCTCTCTAAGTCTATATATTATATAACTAAACTATTGTCGTATGTAAAGTAAACAAGGTTTTCAAAATGTTTAAGAAGTTTCATTTAAAATTAAATTAAAATGCTGATCTTACGCCGCCAGCCCGCTCAGCCCGCTGCCAGCCTGGGGTTCCGTTCACCTAGGCTGGTAGCAGGCTGAGCGGGGCCAGCGGCTGGGAGCCCAGACTGGCAGTTGGCTAAGCGGCTCAGCCTGCTACCGCTCAGCCCGCTGCCGGTCTGGGGTTCCGTCCACCAGCTCCTTCCAGTCAGAGTCCTGGCTGCCGGCCGCGCTCAGCCTGCTGCCGGTCTGGGATCCCGGCCCTGCACACATAGAGTGGGTACCTACCTTCTCCCTGGTTCCAGCTCATTCTCTTCCTCTCTCTCTGCACTGAGCTGAGGGTGGGAGTGCACTGAGCACAGGGCTGGGGGTGAAGAAGCAGGCTGGGGGTTGGGGTGTAGGGTCTGGCCAGGAGCTAGAATGAGGGAGGGGGCTCAGGGTTGGGGCAGGAGGTTTGGGTGTAGAGTGCTTACCTGGGCAGCTCCCATTTGGTGCAAGGGGTGCAGGTGGGAATGTGTGGAGGGTGCAGGAGCTCCCGTTTGGTGCTCAGGGTGGGGGTGGGAATGTGGGGGGTGCAAGAATCAGGGCATAGGGTGTGTGTGGGGGGGCTGAGTATGTGTGGGGGGTGCAGGAGTCAGGGCAGGGGGCTGGGGGCATGTGAGGAGGGTGCAGGAGTCAGGGCATTGGGTGTGGGGGGGGCTGGGTATGTGTGGGGGTGCTGGAGTCAGGGCTGGGGGTTGTGTGCGGGGGTTCAGGGGTCAGGGCAGAGGGCTGGGTGTGTGTGAGGGGGTGCAGGGGTCAGGGCAGAGAGCTGGGTAGGTGTGGGGGGGCAAGGGTCAGGGCAGAGGGTTGGGAGTGTGTGTGGGGGTGAAGGGGTCAGGGCAGGGGGCTGGGGTGTGTCTGGGGGGGTGTAGGGGTCAGGGCAGGGGGCTGTGGGCATGGGCTAGGGTCATGGGGGTGCTCCCAGCCCCCTGCCCTGAGCGGCTCACGGCAGGGGGCTGGAAGGGATATGCCCCAAGGCCCCATCCCCACCTCTTCTCCGCCTCCTCCCCAGAGCAGCGTGGGTGCTGCAGCTCCACTTCTCCCCCTCCCTCACAAGGGCCATCAGCTGATCGGGGGCAGGGAGGGAGAAGAGGAGGGGCAGGAACCCAGCACGGCGGGGGAGGGGGAGCTTGCCTGCTCTGCAGCAGCAGCCGACAGGACCAAACTTCTTCACCCTGCCCCCGCGGGGGGGAGGCGGAGAAGAGCGGGCACGCTGCTGCCTGCCGGGGTCCCAGCCTGGATTCAGCAGCAGTCTAAGCGGGGCCAGCGGCTGGGACCCGGCAGGCAGCAGAGTGCCATTAAAAATCGACTCGCTTGCCATAGGTTGCCTACCCCTGCTCTATATACTATACACTGTAATGTAAGTACAATATTTCCAGTGGATTTATTTTATAATTATATGGTAAAAATGAGAAAGGAAGCAACTTTTCAGTATCAGTGGGCTGTGACCCTTTTTATATTTTTATGTCTGATTCTGTAAGCACATCGTTTTTAAGTAAAGGGAAACCTGGGGTATGCAAGTCAAATCAGACTCCTGCAAGCAGTACAGTAGTCTGGGAAGGTTGAGAGCTACATTAGTACATGTCACCTATGCATATAGCTAGCTAAATACTCATACAGTCCCCTGCACTCCCATAGACTCTATATAGACCCAACATCCCTATACCTTTACAGCTCCTTGCACTTCTGCAGCACCTTCACATGCTCACATCTGGCAACTTGGTACTGAACAGGAAAGGAGACTGCTGGCAGAGGGGGCATGGGAGGAGCAATCCCCCAGTGGAGCATGTAGCCCCGATCTTGGATGGCTCATACCCAGCTTTGACATAGACTCAAGGGGACTATTTCTTTTTTATATTTTTGCCTAGCCTGTCATGCCAATGTAATTTGACTGGATTGAAGCGGTGTCTATGCAGGTGCTTCTGAAAGGAGCACGGTGGTGTGTGTGTAGGGTACATTTCTATGGCACCCACATACACACACTCCTCCCTGCCAGGGGTGTCACACATTGCAGCCTGGGATTTTTCACCCCCCTGAGCGATGTAGTTCAGCCAACTGTGCGGAGCTTGGCTGGCAGGGTCTGGGCAGCACCTGGCACAATGGGATGCCCCCTGCTTTAGTCGTTTCTGCAACAGAAATGATCAATAACAACTCCTGCATATGCACACATCATAGCCCCCATATTGGTAGCACAGACATCATGGCCTATGGAACCTACTGATGCACTGGGGCATCTGGTACATTTCTACAGCACATATAGCCATGCAGCCCCTGGCACCCCTGCGCAGCAGCCACATTCATATACACAGGCATCTCCTACGTCTCTATGACACATATAGACTAAGGGCAAGAGATATCTCTTCCCATGTGAGTGCAGCAAGGCACATCACCCTACGTGTCTCTGTTCCTATAGCTCCTATACACCTACCCACACGAGACGCAGCAGTGTCTCCTATTTCTATAGCACGGTGGTTCTCAATGAAGGGTCTGGGGCTCGATGTGGGGCCGCGAGCAGGTTTCAGAGGCTCCGCCAAGCAGGGCCAGCATTAAGACTCGCTGGGGCCCAGGACAGAAAGCCAAAGCCCCACTGCATAGGTGTGAAGCCCGGGGTCCTGAGCCCTGCCATGCAGGGCTGAAGGGGAAACCTTTGCAATGTAGCTTTGCAGGGCCTCCTGTGGCATGGGGCTCCAGGCAATCGCCCTGCTTGCTACCCCCTAACACTGGCCCTGGCTTTTACATGCAGAAAACCAGTTGTTATGGCACAGGGGGGCCATGGAGTTTTTATAACATGTTGCGGGGGGCTCAGAAAGAGAGAGCTTGAGAACCCCGGCTCTAGCATCTATAGACCAACACTGTGCAGCAGATACTTACTGATTCATGAGTTCCCAGTTCCTCTAAAAAGCTGGGGGGGGGGGGGAGGGCTTGAGGTTTCTGAAACAGAGCTAGCGCGCCATATTCGCCAAGGGCTGCTACGCTCTCTATGGTCCTTACCTGGCCCCCAAAACCTCATACCTGAGCACCACGCAGCTTTAAAAAATTATTTATCCTCACAATACCCCCGAGTGACAGGAGAGTGCCGTTTTCCCCATTTTACATGTGGGAAACAGGCACAGAGCCATTAAGCTCTGGCCTATACTAGAGGAGTTACACTGGTATCATAATGTCAACTAGGGGTGTGTGATTTTTTTACCTATATATTTATGCTGCTATAAGTGCTACCATGGATGCAGCCATGCCCAAAAAAGCCCCAATCCAGCACAGTCCAGTTAACTTCCCACACCTAACCTAGCTCCGCATGTATTCTGTAGCGTAGGACACTGCTCTCCCTAGGAATGTGCTACACATGGGGCACTGAGCATGCTCAGTTCATCCACTGAAGCCACTGCCCTTCACCCTGCCCTTATTTGCTGTAAGGTTCTGCGGACTGCTTTTGACAGGGGCTAAAAAGGGGCAAAGGGCGCAAAACAGAGGAGGGGGGTGGCCAGGGTCTGAGCAGGGGGCAGAAATTCACTGGTCAGGGGGGTCAAGCAGCTGGAGGCAGCATTAGGAGAAGGGCTAAAGGGAAAATCAGGGATGGGGGGAGGAGGCGGAGTTAAACCCAGGAGTGAGGCGCTGCCAGAGGGTGTCAGAGGGCAAAACCTGGCACAGGCAGGGGCACAGGGGGTAACAGTTACCCCAGTGGGACTGAGACACCAGTGCTTGCAAAAATGGTGGGGGGCAAAGGGGCTTTTTATTTCCCCTCCCACAGACAGCACCTTTCAGTATGGGCTTCCCAGGGCTCGGTTCTTAAAGGCACAGGCATCCCAATGCCTAGTCACTGCAGCTCCTCTTTGACTGATCTAACCTACTGAGGCTATGTCTACATTACAAAGTTCAAAGCGCTACCGCGGGTGCCAGTCCTCCTGGTAATGCACCTCGACGAGGGGATTAGCTCCGAGCACTGGAAGCCGAGCCTGTCCACACTAGCGCTTTAAAGCGCTCAAACTTGCTGTGCTCGGGGTGGGGGAGTGATTTTTCACACCCCTGAGGCAGCAAGTTACAGCGCTTTAACTTGCCAGTGTAGATAATCCCTGAGATTTAATTCAGAGAAACATTTTACATATACCCCCTCAGAAACAAAGAATCCCTTGTCACTGTATCTGATTGCATATAATCTCCTAGCAGTTTCCCAAGTTGTCTTATCTGCAGCTGGGATTCCCTGAATTTTTAATTCTAATTTTTTCTTCTCATTTTTAGAGCAGATGTTTATTCTGTTGGATCATCTGACTTTCACTCTGACTGAATTTCTGGCCTAGTGTCAAAACTTTGTTTTGAGTCAATCCACCAATGGGGATTGCATTTTTGCAACTGTTATTTTGCCTCTCAGTCTAGCCCTTAGTGTTTTTCCACATGCCATTGTGTACAACTTGATTCTCAAATATTCAATAAAGGCTGTATACTATCTCCTATAACGTCTTTCTCCCTGTAAAAAAATCTATTGTAATTTTTGCAGAAAATTAGAACTGCCATCGTGGGTCAGACCAATAGTCTGCCTAATCTAGTATCCTGTCTTGTGACAGTGGCCAATGCCAGATGCTTCTAAGGGAATGATCAGACCAGGCAATGACTCAGTGAACCATCCCATTGTCCACTCCCATCATCTGGCAGTCAAAGGACGGTTTAGGGACATGCAGAGGATGGGGCTTCATCCCTGATTATCTTGGCTAATAGCCAATGTACTTATACTGAGGGACTGATCTAATTCTTTGTTCAACCTATTCATAGTTTTGCCTTTCAAAATATAATGAACACACATCTACAACCCCAAGATACCTTTATAACCATAAAGCACAATGGTAGATTTTCTGCCTATGAGCTTGCTTTCCAAAGGAATTAAGTATTTCACATACTGTTTATAATGCTTTTCACTACTCTCAATGTTTTGTGTGCATTCAATGTTGTTGTTGTTTTGTTAATAGACTGTATGACCTACTATGCAGTGGAAAGGGACTAATAAAGATTTCTTTTTAAATGTTCAGACTTTCATTTAGGGTTTTTAATGCAATAGCCATGAAATTCCACTTGCAAAATGTTTTTTAAACAGTCCTGAAAATATAGGAATGTGGGGTTGGTTCTCTCTACTCCAAAAATGTGTTTGGTACCAAGTGTTTGTCTAATGGGTATTTTGAGGATGGCGACTAAGCATCTTGTCATTCAGCAAAAGTGTCACTTAAGATTTCTTGAGTAATAAACGTGTACATAAGCCTGTGACACTATCCCTAAACCATGGTGGATTTGATTTAAATCAAATTGATTTAAATCATAATTTAAATCACGAGTCAGGAAGACTCGATTTAACCATGGTTTTCTCGATAAAAGTGCATTCTTGTTGGTTGTTACAGCCTTAATACATATTCTTCACAACTCAGAGTTAGATACAAGTTTCATTTCTAGAAGGTACACACTATACATTTTTAAACAATGATTTATTTAGAAAACTTTTAAGAGTAGTTTTACAGCTATGTCAGAAAATGAATGTGTGACACTCTATACCTTGGGGGAATGTACCCCATATTCCTCATTTTCATATAATCATGATCTTACATATAAAGCATGCCTTGTAAGGTATAGGGGAAAGGGTTAGGTTTAGGGTTAGACACCAAACCTGTCCCAAGGAAAGTTTATTGCATACAGTTTTTACTTTCAGTTTAACCTAGAGATGTGCAAAAAATTGGGAACACAATGTAGCCCATACCATCCACAAACCAATGGACTAGCTGAAAACAACAAACAAATCCATCAAAAGGTCATTTTAGGGCAGGGGAAATTACAGTATTAATAGAAAGCAGAATGCACTATGACAGAAGCTACAAATTGCTTCAAATTTTTAGTACATTGAAACTCAACTTGTCTTTTATTTCAAGTAAAAGGAATTATCCCACTGCACTAGGATGGCCTCTTTACGCCTTTTCAATTGCATACAATTTCTCTCATAAAGACAGTCCTTTCCCCTTCCCCCACAAATAATCCATCACCATTTTTTACAGAGCATTGTGCAAGTTGGTTGATGACAGTGCGACCAATTGGGATGAATTTCTTGGTGACATTGTATTTTCTTTGAGAAAAAAACCAAACACGACAACCAAATTGTCACCGTATCGACTACTGGATTGGCTTTGAGGCAAGATTTCCAGACCAGGTCTCAGACAACTACACTGTAAGTGTCATTCAGCTTTCAGGTGCATATGTTATTCTGTGATTGTTCATTTTACAAACAGAAGTCCTTCTCCATTTGTTTCCAAAGCCAACAGATTTCGAGGAACTCGATGAAGAATACTATAAAGAGTACATCATGAAAATTGAAGCTAGACGTGATGCTGAAACTATTAGTAATATTTCAAAAGCACAAGAAAAGCAATAAATACAGTATGCCAAAACTAAGACTCGTAAACATGGGGAAATAACATTCAAGGTTGGTGACACTGTCACGCTACTGAATGCAAGAAGGAAAACAAGAAAGGGAGGGCAGCTACAACCTACCTACGTGGGACCATACAAAATTGCCGCTGTAGAGGGCAAAAGAGTTAAATTAGAGAACAAGTTAGGGAAAAAAGAAAAGGAGTACTTGTGGCACCTTAGAGACTAACAAATTTATTTGAGCATAAGCTTTCGTCAGCTACAGCTCACTTCATTGGATGCATAAAGTGGAAAATACAGTGGGGAGATTTATATACACAGAGAACATGAAACAATGGGTGTTATCATACACACTGTAAGGAGAGTGATCACTTAAGATGAGCTAATACCAGCAGGAGAGTGGGGGCGGGGGAAGAAAACCTTTTGTAGTGTTAAGGAAAAGTTAGCACATGTGACTCCATTTTGGTTTGGGGCCCACCATTGTTTAAATGCCAGCACATCATACACCAGGAGGAGTAATTCTTAGATACTGAATCCCTGTGAAAATCCTCCTCCTTGTCTCCAGCCTGCCTTGACTCCCAGTATCTGGTTTTTGTCAGTCTCTAACTCCCTGTCTCTTGGCCTTGATGTGAGGCCTCCCATCCTGATAATAAAAGTTACTGATGCATGGCTTTAGGACCATGCTGTGTAATTAACATACTGGTATAGCACGAGGAATGCACCAAGCAGGGATAGGTGGTAGATAAGACAAGGGTTTGTTTATTGGCTAAGGTTTCCGATGCACGAGGGCAACATGCTTTGCTAAAAGGTATATAACCTTTGTATAATCTGCATTCAAGGTCCCCTCCTGGCTAGCAGGGGGGCACCACGCTCGAGTGTAATAAATTTAGTGTCTTTTGGGAACTCTGCAGTTGTGGACTTTATTTCTGTGCCTCAGCCTCGATTCGAACTGTGCGTGTCCTATCAGGTATAATTCATAGCACTTGTGTGCGTGTCCTACAAGGTATAATTCGTAGCACTTGTGTGCGTGTCCTACCAGGTGTAATTCGTAGCACTTGTGTGCGTGTCCTACCAGGTGTAATTCGTAACAGTTTTGGTGACCACGAAGGGACTCTAGGCTCGCCCCAACAAGCGAGACTACACTCCTCCTCTCGGACAGCTCCAGCCGGCACAGGGTGAGTTCACCTTTGAGAACTCCGAGGGGGGGTGTGAGCCGTCGCTTAGGCGATAAGGTGGCACATTTTGTGTTCTTTTGGTAGCCCATTATGGGTTCTGGGCAGAGTGTAAGTAAGGGGACCCCTTTGGCTGAAATTCTCGAGAATTGGGGGAATATTTCTGGCACCCATGGGTTAGGCAGGAAGAAAGCTGTTATTTTATGTAAGGTTGAGTGGCCAGCACTAACAACTCAAACATCTGTTGAATGGCCACCGGATGGGTCCTTTGCTGGGGATACATTAACAGCGCTTAGAAGGGGCTGGAGGACAAAGCTCCAGCCCAGATGGATTATTGGTATGTATGGGACAACTGGGCTTATGCGCGTGCGAAAGGACGTCCTCTTTCCTCCTCCTTTTCCTATCTATCTCAGGGGTCTTCAGCCCCGCTCTGTGCTATGCCTGTTTCTTCTCCTCCCCGGCGTGCTTCTGCCCCTCCCGCGGCTTACCCTCGGCTTTCTGACTTATGCCTATCATCTCCTTGCTCGCCACCCCCCTGCCCGTGCGGGCCCACCATTGACCCACCGGTTACTCTGCAAGCTCCCCTCATTCAGCAACCCCTTGTTACTCATGGTACGGACGGGAGTGAACGGTTTGCTTTTCCCTATGTTCACCGCCCTTTTGGCCCAGGCGATTTAGTAACATGGCAACAGCAGATGCCTTGCCTGCGTGACGATCCAGAGAAGGTTCTGCAAACCATTCAGTCTGTATTTACCGCATTTAATCCTACATGGGGAGATGTCCAGGTAATCCTGGACACACTTTTTACCCCTGACGAGAAATATTCCATTCTGGATGCTAATAGGTGCTGGGCAGGGGAGGACAGTACCCGGGCTTCTTGGCCCCTGACTGATCCCAACTGGAATCCTAATGCGCCTACTCAAATGGGCCTTTTAAAGGCGGGTAGAAACGGCCTTTTAGAAGCTGTATGTACAGCTGGTAGTAAAACGGCTAACTGGTCTAAAATCCGCGAATGTCGGCAAGAGCTTACTGAGCACCCCTCCGCCTTTTTGGCCCGGTTGTCCAAACAAGTTCGTGTATATGGGGGCGGTATAAACCCTGAGGCAGAGGGAAACCGTCCTATGATGGTCTCCTTTTATGTTGATCAGGCAGCATCAGATATAAAAAAATATTTTTCTAAGCATGTGCCCGATTGGCCAGGAAAACCCCTCCAGGAGGTTGTCCGCCTGGCCACCTTTGTGTTTAACGGCAGGGACGAGGAAAAAGCATGGGAAAAACGTAAACAGAAGAAGGAGGAGGTAAGTATGTTAGCTGCTGCCTTGCAGGCTCCTTCGGGAAAACAGCATTGGCAAGGGCGCGGAGAGATGAGGAAAAAACGTAAACAGAAGAAGGAGGAGGTAAGTATGTTAGCTGCTGCCTTGCGGGCTCCTTCGGGAAAACAGCATTGGCAAGGGCGCGGAGAGATGAGGGGAAGGGGGCATGGACGGGGGACAGGAGGAGGGGGAGGTTGGGATAGAATGAGGGACGGGAATTGTAATTATTGTAAACAACCAGGGCACTGGAGGAGGGAGTGTCCCCTGCTTCCCCGAGGGGCTCCTTGGAAGAGCCAGGTAGAGGCTAATCCTTCTTTTCCCCCTAACGCCCCCCAGAACCTTGTTAACCCCCAGTGACTAGAGGCGGAGGTTTTGGGGACTTTGGGAGAGTTGGAATGGGACTTGGGATTACAGTCACAAATTTATTTGAAAGGTGGAGAACACCTTGTGCCTTTTCTGGTAGATACTGGGGCCACCCTCTCCACTTTAACTTTTGTTCCGGGCTCTCTGTCCGATACCAAGGTTTGGGTGCAGGGTATAGAAGGTAATCCCTGCCCGGCTCCTTTATCCTACCCTGTCCCTATCGAGCTTGGTTCTTTAAAGCTATTACATAGGTTTGTTGTAATGCCGGAGGGCCCCGCGAACCTCCTCCGGTGGGATGTGCTGGGCAAATTGGGGGCACACATATATTGCACCCCCGAGGGGCTCCGCATGTCCGTCCCGGACTCGGCAGTTGCTTCTCTTATGGCATCGGTTACCCCTATTCCTGGTGTGCCCTATGAATTGTCCAGTGTTCCCCACACTTTGTGGAGCACAAATCCTACTGATGTGGGTCTTCTTAAATCAGCAGTTCCAGTGAGTCTGAAAACAGGGGGCGGACCGCCTCCGTCTGTAAAACAATACCCCTTGCCGAGGGAGGCGGAAGAAGGCATCTCACTCCTTATTGACAGCTATTTGACTCAGGGGGTTTTAGTCCCCTGCAGTTCGCCCTGTAATACTCCCATTCTTCCAGTAAGGAAGCCTAAACCGGGACCAGACGGGCGTCCAGTCTATCAATTTGTTCAGGATCTACGGGCTATAAATGGTTATGCTATAGCCCCCCATCCAGTTGTCCCTGATCCGAGCACTATTCTAACTCTAATTCCTCAGTCAGCCACTTGCTTTACTGTCATAGATTTCAGAGGAACAGCCGTGTTAGTCTGTATTCGCAAAAAGAAAAGGAGTACTTGTGGCACCTTAGAGACTAATTGGTTAGTCTCTAAGGTGCCACAAGTACTCCTTTTCTTTTGCGAATACAGACTAACACGGCTGTTCCTCTGAAACCTGTCATTATGCAAGGCACTGCATTTAGCCGTATGGAGTGGAAAGAATGACCTTGAGCGGATCACTGCGGACTATGTGGCTCTAGGAAGAAGGATAAAGGAGTTGGAGGTGCAAGTGGTGTTCTCGTCCATCCTCCCCGTGGAAGGAAAAGGCCTAGGTAGGGAGCGTCGAATCGTGGAAGTCAACGAATGGCTACGCAGGTGGTGTCGGAGAGAAGGCTTTGGATTCTTCGACCATGGGATGGTGTTCCAAGAAGGAGTGCTAGGCAGAGACGGGCTCCACTTAACGAAGAGAGGGAAGAGCATCTTCGCGAGCAGGCTGGCTAACCTAGTGAGGAGGGCTTTAAACTAGGTTCACCGGGGGAAGGAGACCAAAGCCCTGAGGTAAGTGGGAAAGCGGGATACCGGGAGGAAGCACAGGCAGGAATGTCTGTGAGGGGAGGGCTCCTGCCTCATACTGAGAATGAGGGGCGATCAGCAGGTTATCTCAAGTGCTTATATACGAATGCACAAAGCCTTGGAAACAAGCAGGGAGAACTGGAGGTCCTGGTGATGTCAAGGAATTATGATGTGATTGGAATAACAGAGACTTGGTGGGATAACTCACATGACTGGAGTACTGTCATGGATGGTTATAAACTGTTCAGGAAGGACAGGCAGGGCAGAAAAGGTGGGGGAGTAGCACTGTATGTAAGGGAGCAGTATGACTGCTCAGAGCTCCGGTACGAAACTGCAGAAAAAACCTGAGTGTCTCTGGATTAAGTTTAGAAGTGTGTGCAACAAGAGTGATGTAGTGGTGGGAGTCTGCTATAGACCACCAGACCAGGGGGATGAGGTAGATGAGGCTTTCTTCCGGCAGCTCACGGAAGCTACTGGATCGCATGCCCTGATTCTCATGGGTGACTTTAATTTTCCTGATATCTGCTGGGAGAGCAATACAGCGGTGCATAGACAATCCAGGAAGTTTTTGGAAAGCGTAGGGGACAATTTCCTGGCGCAAGTGCTCGAGGAGCCAACTAGGGGGCGCTTTCTTGACCTGCTGCTCACAAACCGGGTAGAATTAGTGGGGGAAGCAAAAGTGGATGGGAATCTGGGGGCAGTGACCATGAGTTGGTTGAGTTCAGGATCCTGACACAGGGAAGAAAGGTAAGCAGCACGATACGGACCCTGGACTTCAGGAAAGCAGACTTCGACTCCCTCAGGGAACGGATGGCCAGGATCCCCTGGGGGACTAACTTGAAGGGAAAGGAGTCCAGGAGAGCTGGCTGTATTTCAAGGAATCCCTGTTGAGGTTACAGGGACAAACCATCCCGATGAGTCGAAAGAATAGTAAATATGGCAGGCGACCAGCTTGGCTTAATGGTGAAATCTTAGCGGATCTTAAACATAAAAAAGAAGCTTACAAGAAGTGGAAGGTTGGACATATGACCAGGGAAGAGTATAAAAATATTGCTAGGGCATGTAGGAATGTTATCAGGAGGGCCAAATCGCACCTGGAGCTGCAGCTAGCCAGAGATGTCAAGAGTAACAAGAAGGGTTTCTTCAGGTATGTTGGCAACAAGAAGAAAGCCAAGGAATGTGTGGGCCCCTTACTGAATGAGGGAGGCAAACTAGTGACAGAGGATGTGGAAAAAGCTAATGTACTCAATGCTTTTTTTGCCTCTGTTTTCACTAACAAGGTCAGCTCCCAGACTGCTACGCTGGGCATCACAAAATGGGGAAGAGATGGCCAGCCCTCTGTGGAGATAGAGGTGGTTAGGGACTTTTAGAAAAGCTGGATGTGCACAAGTCCATGGGGCCGGACGAGTTGCACCCGAGAGTGCTGAAGGAACTGGCGGCTGTGATTGCAGAGCCATTGGCCATTATCTTTGAAAACTCGTGGCGAACCGGGGAAGTCCCGGATGACTGGAAAAAGGCTAATGTAGTGCCAATCTTTAAAAAAGGGAAGAAGGAGGATCCTGGGAACTACAGGCCAGTCAGCCTCACTTCAGTCCCTGGAAAAATCATGGAGCAGGTCCTCAAAGAATCAATCCTGAAGCACTTACATGAGAGGAAAGTGATCAGGAACAGCCAGCATGGATTCACCAAGGGAAGGTCATGCCTGACTAATCTAATTGCCTTCTATGATGAGATTACTGGTTCTGTGGATGAAGGGAAAGCAGTGGATGTATTGTTTCTTGACTTTAGCAAAGCTTTTGACACGGTCTCCCACAGTATTCTTGTCAGCAAGTTAAGGAAGTATGGGCTGGATGAATGCACTACAAGGTGGGTAGAAAGCTGGCTAGATTGTCGGGCTCAACGGGTAGTGATCAATGGCTCCATGTCTAGTTGGCAGCCGGTATCAAGTGGTGTGCCCCAAGGGTCGGTCCTGGGGCCGGTTTTGTTCAATATCTTCATAAATGATCTGGAGGATGGTGTGGATTGCACTCTCAGCAAATTTGCGGATGATACTAAACTGGGAGGAGTGGTAGATACGCTGGCGGGGAGGGATAGGATACAGAAGGACCTAGACAAATTGGAGGATTGGGCCAAAAGAAATCTGATGAGGTTCAATAAGGATAAGTGCAGGGTCCTGCACTTAGGACGGAAGAACCCAATGCACAGCTACAGACTAGGGACCGAATGTCTAGGCAGCAGTTCTGCGGAAAAGGACCTAGGGGTGACAGTGGACGAGAAGCTGGATATGAGTCAGCAGTGTGCCCTTGTTGCCAAGAAGGCCAATGGCATTTTGGGATGTATAAGTAGGGGCATAGCGAGCAGATCGAGGGACGTGATCGTTCCCCTCTATTCGACATTGGTGAGGCCTCATCTGGAGTACTGTGTCCAGTTTTGGGCCCCACACTTCAAGAAGGATGTGGATAAATTGGAGAGAGTCCAGCGAAGGGCAACAAAAATGATTAGGGGTCTGGAACATATGAGTTATGAGGAGAGGCTGAGGGAGCTGGGATTGTTTAGCCTGCAGAAGAGAAGAATGAGGGGGGATTTGATAGCTGTTTTCAACTACCTGAAAGGGGGTTCCAAAGAGGATGGCTCTAGACTGTTCTCAATGGTAGGAGATGACAGAACGAGGAGTAATGGTCTCAAGTTACAGTGGGGGAGGTTTAGATTGGATATTAGGAAAACTTTTTCACTAAGAGGGTAGTGAAACACTGGAATGCGTTACCTAGGGAGGTGGTAGAATCTCCTTCCTTAGAGGTTTTTAAGGTCAGGCTTGACAAAGCCCTGGCTGGGATGATTTAACTGGGAATTGGTCCTGCTTTGAGCAGGGGGTTGGACTAGATGACCTTCTGGGGTCCCTTCCAACCCTTATATTCTATGATTCTATGATTCTATGAAATCTATCAACTGCATGAAGAAACTTGTACAGATACAGACAGACATCATCTTCCTTTCCAAATGCAAACAGATGGACATCGTACCAAAAGGACTGAAGGTCAAAAATCCATTACAATCTACATACCACACAGACTATGCTGACAGCTTGTGCCTCACGCTCTCAAAGAAACTGCGGAATCACCTGATCAAGATCCTCTACAGCAAACAGGGAAAGATTAAGAATGAGCTCTCAAAAATGGATACTCTCATAAAGAACCAACCTTCCACACAAACTTCCTCGTGGCTGGATTTTACTAAAACTAGACAAGCCATTTACAACGCACACTTTGCTTCTCTACAAAAGAAAAAAGACACTAAACTTTCTAAACTACTACATGCTACAAGGGGCCACAGCAATGGTTCCCTCACCCCACCTAGCAATATTGTTAACCTATCCAACTATACTCTCAGCCCAGCAGAAGCAGCTGTTCTATCTCGGGGCCTCTCCTTCTGCCCCTCCACCCCCACGAACATGATACAGTTCTGTGGTGACCTAGAATCCTATTTTCGACGTCTCCGTCTCAAGGAATATTTCCAAAATACCTCTGAACAACATACTAATCCACAGAGGTCTCCCTGCCAACACTACAGAAAGAGGGATTCTAGATGGACTCCTCCTGAAGGTCGAAACAGCAGACTGGACTTCTATTTTGGTTAGTCTCTAAGGTGCCACAAGTACTCCTTTTCTTTTTGTCATAGATTTGTGTGCAGCATTTTTCAGTATCCCTTTGCACCCTGATTCTCAATATTTATTCGCATTTACCTGGAAGGGTCAGCAGCTAACATGGACGCATCTTCCCCAGGGGTTCTCAGGATCCCCTACTATTTTTTCCCGGATTCTCACCGAACATTTAAAAGACATTGTTTTGCCTAGTTCGTCTGTCCTGGTTCAGTATGTGGATGATTTGCTAATTGCTGCCTCAGATCATAACGCATGTTTAATTGACTCTGTTGTTTTGCTTACTGCATTAGCTAATAAGGGTCATCGTGCATCTCCTTCCAAGTTGCAGCTGTGCCTAGATCAGGTAATTTATTTGGGCTTTGTAATTAGGCCTGGGGAGCGTTTACTATCCCCTGATAGGGCGCGGGCAATCCAGGATTACCCGCGTCCGACTACAAAAAAGCAGTTACGGGCTTTCCTGGGGGCTGCAGGGTTCTGCCGACCCTGGGTTGTGGCTTTCGGGGAATTGGTAAAACCGTTAGTTCAAGCTACTACAACACTGACCCTCGATCCTGTCTCCTGGACCCCGGAAATGGAAGATGCTTTTAAATCCATCAAAAAGGCTCTGATCTCTGCGCCCGCCTTGGGATTCCTGGATTACGGTAAACCATTTTCTCTTTTCACTCACGAACGGCAGGGAGTGGCTAGCGGCGTCCTTTTGCAATACCTGGGGGGTCGCCCACGCCCCGTAGCCTATTATTCAGTACAACTGGACCCTGTGATTCAGGGCTCTGTCTCCTGTGTACGGTCTGTTGCTGCTGCTGCTGCTGTCATGGTTGAACGGTCACGACCTATTGTTTTGGGGCACCCTCTGACTGTCTGGGTCCCTCTTGAGGTTGAAATTCTTTTAAAACAGCATTCTACACAGGCATTGTCTCCACAGCGGGCTCATAAATATGAACTAATCCTGTTGGCCGCTGTCAACGTTACTTTACGCCGCTGTAACGTCCTCAATCCAGCCACAATGCTACCCCTCCCAGAGGACGGTACCCCTCACCATGTATGCATGGATGTCGTCGTCGTGCAGGATGGTTAGCCCCGCCCGGATTTAGCGGACTCCCCTTTAGTTGAGCCCGATTTACTTCTTTTCACAGATGGGTCCTCGTACTATTTAGATGGCCACCGGGTCTCGGGCTATTCGGTTACCTCTCAGGCAGACGTTATCGAGGCTGCCCCCCACCACCTTCCTTCAGCGCCCAGGGTGCAGAGTTACACGCGCTTACCAGGGCTTGCTTATTGTCTTCAGGGAAAACTGTTACCATTTATATGGACTCTAAGTATGCTTTTGGGGTTTGTCATGCTACAGGCCAGCTCTGGAAGCAACGAGGATTTTTAACCTCCTCAGGCACAAAAATCGCTAATGGCCCTCTAATCTCTGCCCTTTTGGAAGCTATTCAGGCCCCTCGTCAGGTGGCGGTGGTTCATTGTTATGCGCACAGGCAGTCTAACAGTGTTGTATCTCAGGGCAATGCATTAGCTGATTCAGCCGCAAAGGCTGCAGCTCTACAGCCCCTTCTGGTTTCGGCTTCCCTCCCCCTGGATGTGTCCTTCCCACCTGCTGACTGGACACTGCTGTATGCTGACGTATCCTTGGAGGAGCTGCACGACTGGAAACGCTGGGAGGGATCTAAGGGCTCCGATAAGGTTTGGCAAATTGGGAACAAACCTATTCTCCCCCGTCGTTATCTACTCGCAGCTGCTCATTATTTTCATTCCCTGGGTCACGCTGGTATTCAGGGCACGGTGGCTGCCATACTAAAGTTCTGGGCAGCACCGCATGTTTATCCCGCGGTACAGCGAGTTCTTGGCTCCTGCCCTACTTGCCTGGCCTTCTCTGCTAAGACTCGGCTCGATGCCAACTCGAAAGGGGGGAGACCCTGGGCAAACTTCCCGTTTCAGCGCTTGCAGATGGACTACGCAGAAATGCCTAAATGCTCAGGGTTTCACCACCTCTTTGTTATAGTGGACCAACTTTCCGGATGGCCTGAAGCAATACCAACCAGAAAGGCAGATGCAAGATCTGTGGTCAAGTTCTTAATGAAAGACATTGTACCCAGGTTTGGTGTCCCTGAAGTCATTGATTCAGATCGGGGCTCACACTTTACTGCAAAGATTTTGGAGGAACTGTACCGGTGCTTGGGGATTATTCGACAATTACACACCCCGTACCACCCCCAGTCTGCAGGTCAGGTGGAACGCATGAACCGAACAATAAAGACAATGGTAGCAAAGTTTTGTAAGGAAACTGGACTTAAGTGGCCAGAGGCCTTGCCTATAGTTTTATGGCATATAAGACAAACGCCACGCATGCCCCATGGCCTGTCCCCATTTGAGGTGCTGTTTGGGAGACCAGCTTTAGTCCCGGGAACTTATGTTCCTGTACATGCTAGCCTCTTGGATGGAGATGAAACTTTGGCCAGATACGTTGCTAGTCTGCAAAAGGAGCTGACTGACAACCAGTCTGAAGCTCAGTTGTTTCAAACCGCACCCTTAGGGTTACAGGTTCATTCCTTTAAGCCAGGGGATTGGGTAATGGTAAAAAAGATCCCCCGCACCGACCCCCTGGAACCCCGGTGGGAGGGGCCGTACCAGGTTCTGTTATGTACTTATTCTGCTTTAAAAGTTGCAGGTAAAGGTTCCTGGATTCACCATAGCTACATCAAGTTGGTGACAGAACCCCCACCTGACCCTGGCGAGCCAGCAGATGAGCCACTTCACGAATGAACACTATAACCAACCCATGGACTGAGCTTTCCAGCTACTGGGACCTTGATAGCCCACCAAGACTTTTTGTGTTTCTGTTTATTGGACTTACATTGGGGGTAGTGTTTTTTGTATGGTACCGGGAGGATGTCGACATTGGTATGGTTTGCCTGGGGGGTCCTCTCCTTATTCCCAAGTCCAGTACAAGGATGGGAGAGCAATAGCTTCTTGAATTTAACCCGTGCTATCAAACAGAGTGTAAATCGAACACAGTGTTGGATTTGTATTCATACCACCACATATTTAGGTCAGGGGGTCCCGTTGGTAGGGGTACCTATCCCCCTTAATCGAACACTCCAAACTAAGCTATGGGCAAACACTACATTTAACTGGAATGTTACAATCCAAATATGGTCTATTGATATGGTGGCCCAGGGTAATTATGCTTTGTGTGTGTCATGACGTAAGGGCATAGAAAATACAGTTTTTGTAGGGAATTTTGTGGGGTGCAAGGACACCACCCAAATCAGCTCTGGTGCAGGAGGCCCCTCTACCTACTCCAGAACCCCGTGGCCAGTCCCCGAGGGGTCTGGCTGGTATTGGTTATGCAATCACACAGCCTATAAGGTTCTCCCAGCAGGATGGTGAGGTACATGTACCTTAGGGGCTATAGTACCCGCCGTGACAGTACACCAGAACCTGACCCGGGGAGAGATCCGCAATCTAGTATGGAGGGACCGACGAAGTATTCCTTTAAACCCCCTTTCTTATCGGCCCAAAGGCTTTCACTCCTTTGTGCATTGGTTTCTGCCATGGTTGGGAGTAAGCGAGCTGGAAAAAGCTATAGTTAACATTTCAGCTGCTTTGGAATTAATAGCAAATGCTACTGCAGATGCTCTATCTGCCCTTCAAATTGAAGTCACTCAGCTATTCCAAACTACATTGCAAAACCGCCTAGCCCTGGATTATCTCCTTGCAAATCAAGGCGGGGTTTGTGCTCTGGTCAACTCAAGCTGTTGTGTTTTTGTAAATCAGCACCATAGGGTGGAAACTGACATCCACATCCTCAAGCCCTATTCCACCACATCAGCCTCGACACTACCACAGGAGGTCTGGGACTGGCTCACCTCATGGCTACCGGATGTGGGGACTTGGGGACGGCGTATTTTGTATTTACTTTTTTTGACTGTTATTGTTTTTGCGTTATTTTTTGTATGCCTACAATGCTGCAGTATGTGCTGTCGGCAGTTGCTAACCATGCAGCGCGGTTACTCAGCCCCGATATAGCTTACTGACGTACAAAAAAAAAGGGAGGACTGTTAAGGAAAGGTTAGCACATGTGACTCCATTTTGGTTTGGGGCCCACCATTGTTTAAATGCCAGCACATCATACACCAGGAGGAGTAATCCTTAGATACTGAATCCCTATGAAAATCCTCCTCCTTGTCTCCAGCCTATTGACTCCCAGTATCTGGTTTTTGTCAGTCTCTAACTCCCTGTCTCTTGGCCTTGATGTGAGGCCTCCCATCCTGATAATAAAAGTTACTGATGCATGGCTTTAGGACCATGCTGTGTAATTAACATACTGGTATAGCACGAGGAATGCACCAAGCAGGGATAGGTGGTAGATAAGACAAGGGTTTGTTTATTGGCTAAGGTTTCCGATGCAGGAGGGCAACATGCTTTGCTAAAAGGTATATAACCTTTGTATAATCTGCATTCAGGGTCCCCTCCTGGCTAGCAGGGGGGCACCACGCTCGAGCGTAATAAATTTAGTGTCTTTTGGGAACTCTGCAGTTGTGGACTTTATTTCTGTGCCTCAGCCTCGATTCGAACTGTGCGTGTCCTATCAGGTATAATTCGCAGCATTGGTGTGCATGTCCTATCAGGTATAATTCGCAGCACTTGTGTGCGTGTCCTACCAGGTGTAATTCGTAACAGTAGTGATAATCAAGGTGGGCCATTTCCAGCAGTTGACAAAAACGTCTGAGGAACAGGGGGTGGGTGGGGGAGGGAATAAACATGGGGAAATAGTTTTACTTTGTGTAATGACCCATCCACTCCCAGTCTCTATTCAATCCTAAATTAATTGTATCCAGTTTGCAAATTAATTCCAATTCAGCAGTCTCTCGTTGGAGTCTGTTTTTGAAGTCCTTTTGTTGTAATATTGCGACTTGTAGGTCTGTAATCGAGTGACCAGAGATTGAAGTGTTCTCCGACTGGTTTATGAATGTTATAATTCTTGACATCTGATTTGTGTTCATTTATTCTTTTACATAGAGACTGTCCAGTTTGCCCAATGTACATGGCAGAGTGGCATTGCTGGCACATGATGGCATATATCACATTGGTAGATGTGTAGGTGAATGAGCCTCTGATAGTGTGGCTGATGTGATTAGGAGAAAGACATTATAGGAGATTGTATACTGCCTTTACTGAATATTTGAGAATCAAGTTGTACACAATGGCATGTGGAAAAACACTAAGGGCTAGACTGAGAGGCAAAATAACAGTTGCAAAAATGCAATCCCCATTGGTGGATTGACTCAAAACAAAGTTTTGACACTAGGCCAGAAATTCAGTCAGAGTGAAAGTCAGACGATCCAACAGAATAAACATCTGCTCCAAAAATGAGGAGAAACCACATACCACACAACAGAACCACTAACCCAGGATCCTATCCTTGCAACAAAGCCCGTTGCCAACTCTGTCCACATATCTATTCAGGGGACACCATCATAGGGCCTAATCACATCAGCCACACTATCAGAGGCTCGTTCACCTGCACATCTCTCAATGTGATATATACCATCATGTGCCAGCAATGCCCCTCTGCCAATGTACATTGACCAAACCGGACAGTCTCTATGTAAAAGAATAAATGGACACAAATCAGATGTCAAGAACTATAACATTCATAAACCAGTAGGAGAACACTTCAATCTCTCTGATCACTCGATTACAGACCTAAAAGTCGCAATATTACAACAAAAGGACTTCAAAAACAGACTCCAAAGACAGACTGCTGAATTGGAATTAATTTGCAAACTGGATGCAATTAACTTAGGATTGAATAGAGACGGGGAGTGGATGGGTCATTACACAAAGTAAAACTATTTTATCCCCCCCGTTCCTCAGAAAGTTCTTGTCAAATGCTGGAAATGGCCCACCTTGATTATCACTACAAAAGGTTTTCTCCTCCCCGCCCCTGCTGGTATTAGCTCATCTTAAGTGATCACTCTCCTTACAGTGTGTATGGTAACACCCATTGTTTCATGTTCCACTGTATTTTCCACTTTATGCATCCGATGAAGTGAGCTGTAGCTGACGAAAGCTTATGCTCAAATAAATTTGTTAGTCTCTAAGGTGCCACAAGTACTCCTTTTCTTTTTGCGAATACAGACTAACATGGCTGCTACTCTGAAACCTGTCATTAAGTTAGGGAAAGGTTTAGCAACATTGTACAGTATCTCCCAACTAAAGGTATTTAAAGAGCCTCCAAAATTAGGTGAGGAAAACATATCACAGAGAAACATGGAAAAGGAAATTGCTGTGTATGAGACTGTGAAAACCTTAGAGGTAGGAGAAGTGGGTGGCAATGTATCTCACAAGCCTCACGACAGCCAAGTGGAGGTCACACACACGGAAGAGGAGGGGTGTGTAGTGTCAGGAGTTTCAAGCAGTCACCCAGGTAATTTTGATGACATGGTTATGGAGGATGATGAAGACAGAGAATGGTTTCTCAAAGGTATTGCTTACCACACAGTTGTTTTTAAAGAATTTGTTGACACACTTCCATTTATCAAGCGTGTCAATAGTTTCCATGTAGGAATGGAATGTTTGTTTGCAAAAATCTTTTCTCTATCTCTTTTGTCCACTACACCACACAAGAGAGGTGGGAGGCACAGCAACTTCTATCTAACACCTCCTGATAGGTCCAGAGGGGTGTAAAGATCTGCTGCTGAAATCAGAATTGTAGTTGGCCTATTTACTCTTGAGTTAACAGGGCAGGGGAAAGTTGAGAGGACAAACTGGAGGCACACAAGGTGATGTAACTTGCCAAATGTTACATAGCAAGTCAGTGGAAATCCTGGCTCCCATTCCCCTGTACTTTTCTTCAGAATCTCAAATTATAAAATTTCTGGATTTCCCTGGTAAATTCTCAAAAGGCCTGATCAGTGTAATCTCTCTGGTATATTCCCCCACTATATTTCCAGCAGCAGCAGCTATTATCTGGCAGTTTCATCAACTGAAACTCTCATCTTTCCAAATGTCACCTTGTGTGTATTTCATTTTGTGCTGAGGGAGAGAAGCCAGATGAAGCTAGGGAGTGTAACTGGGCTGGGCATGTGCAGAGTTTAGCAGAAAGCTCTTCTAACAAGAGAGAGATCTGTGTGATACTTCTTTACATCACATAGTCAGCTGCAGTATTCAGCGTTAGTTTCTTTTGCTCCTAATGATAATAGCAGGGTAGGTTTGCTTATTGTGCTAGGCCAGGGGTTTTCAAACTATGCTTTGGGGCTTGTAAGGGAAAGCTGCTAGCTGGCCGCGAGACACTGTTTACCTGAGCGTCTACAGGTACTGCCCTTCGCAGCTCTCTTACCGATAATGGTAACAATTCACTATCTCTCTGCTGCAGGTTTCAAATGGCTACAGATAGCAGTCTCACATACCTGGGGTGTGAGAAATGGCAATCTGTAGGAATTAGCTTCATCTGCCCTCGGTGTTACAGGCAGCACATCCCTACAGATTGCAGGTTCATACACATATGTGTGTGTGTGAAAATGCTATCTGTAGGACCATGCTACCTGCAGCAGAAACAGGTCCAACTTGGCTAAAAATGGTATTTCAAGCGGTCTCACATGTAAAACCAACCTGATAGCTTTCTTTAACAGTGTAACAAGCCTACAAGCGGTAGATGTAGAGCTTGCCTTTGGTAAGGCTTTTGATACTGTCTCCCATGACCTTCTCATAAACAAACTGTGGAAATGAAACCTAGATGGACATAACGATAAATAAGATGGGCACGAGTGGGGTTCTCCAGGGATCAGTTCTGGATATGTTTCTATTCAAAATCTTAATGATTGAGATAATGGCATAGACGGTACACTTACAAAGTTTGTTAAAATTTAAGGTCTAGAAAACATGACCTATGAGGGCAGATTGAAAAAGGATAACAGGTTCCAAGTATGTACCAATAAAGTAGCATCTTTTTACAAAAACTGTTTCTTACAATCTGTACCCAGCGTTAACTGCTACAAGTAGCACATTTCTACAGGTAGCAATTTCACATACCCTGGGATGCAAGAAGCTGCTACCTGTAGGCACTTGCTACGTCAGGTAGCAGTGTCCTACAATAGCCCTTTCTTACAATCCACAGGGATCGGTAAGTGCTGGCGGTAGCGGAGTGGTCTCCTACACTACACCACAGGATGCATCCGATGAAGTGAGCTGTAGCTCAGGAAACCTTATGCTCAGATAAATTGGTTAGTCTCTAAGGTGCCACAAGTCCTCCTTTTCTTTTTGCGAATACAGACTAACAGGGCTGCTACCCTGAAACCTACACTACACCGCCCCCCATTAGTCTCCTCCCTCTCCCCCGCCATTGTCCCACTCCAGGGGCGCTTGCTCTCCCGCAGCTGGATCAGTTCTTACCTGCAGGCTCCGGCTCAGAGGTTGGTGGCGGCAGAGCCGGGGGCTGACCCCGGGGCTGGTTCCAGCCCCCGCAGAAAGTCCCTTGGGGGCGGGGGGGGGGTGATGAGTGCAGGTCTCTCCCAGCACAGACCCGCCAGGGAGCAGCAGCGGCTCAGCCCCGCTCCAGGCTCACAATGGAGGCGGCAACAACTTCAAACAGCTCGGATTAGAAGCAACTGCAATGCAGGAGCCGCGGTCTCTCATCCCTGTCATTACAGTTATTCATTATTATGATTATTTGCAAAGCAGAAGCACCTAGGAGTCCATATCTCTGCCTCCCCACTGCAAACACCAGACACAACCCACCGCTCTCAGCTGATCCAGCCCCTTCCTGTGCCCCTTGATACCAAGCCGGGCTGCAGCCCTCCCTGGGGCTGGGTGGGACAGGCTGTAAGCAATACCCAGAGCATCTGGCTGCAGAGATTAGGGGTTCCCTGGGGGAAAGTGGTGTATGACAAGAACTACAGCCCCCGACATCCCCCTGCTCACCCCCACAGGCTTCAGAACAATCAGATCCTCCCAAGGGGGTGGGGGTGGAGAGCTGTGCAGGAATCCGAGCATGCTTAGTAACATCTGCTGAAGCCTGCTGCCCTCACCTGCTCTCCGAATCTGCTCCCTGCTATACATGGGAGCTAAAGGGGGAGAGGAGAGATGCGCAGAATTTGTGCAGGGGGCAAGAAGGTGAAATAGGTGGAGTGCTTAATTGTCCCAGGGCTTGCCAGGGCTGAGCCCCGGCACCTCTGGGCTGGGCAGTTCTGAGCCCCGACACCTCTGGGCTTGGCAGTTCACAGACCTGATGAGGTTCAATAAGGATAAGTGCAGGGTCCTGCACTTAGGACGGAAAAACCCAATGCACAGCTACAGACTAGGGACCGAATGGCTAGGCAGCAGTTCTGCGGAAAAGGACCCAGGGGTGACAGTGGATGAGAAGCTGGATATGAGCCAGCAGTGTACCCTTGTTACCAAGAAGGCCAATGGCATTTTGGGATGTATAAGTAGGGGCATAGCGAGCAGATCGAGGGACGTGATCGTCCCCCTCTATTCGACATTGGTGAGGCCTCATCTGGAGTACTGTGTCCAGTTTTGGGTCCCACACTACAAGAAGGATGTGGATAAATTGGAGAGAGTCCAGCGAAGGGCAACAAAAATGATTAGGGGTCTGGAACACATGACTTATGAGGAGAGGCTGAGGGAACTGGGATTGTTTAGTCTGCGGAAGAGAAGAATGAGGGGGGATTTGATAGCTGCTTTCAACTACCTGAGAGGTGGTTCCAGAGAGGATGGTTCTAGACTATTCTCAGTGGTGGAAGAGGACAGGACAAGGAGTAATGGTCTCAAGTTGCAGTGGGGGAGGTTTAGGTTGGATATTAGGAAAAACTTTTTCACTAGGAGGGTGGTGAAACACTGGAATGCGTTGCCTAGGGAGGTGGTGGAATCTCCTTCCTTAGAAGTTTTTAAGGTCAGGCTTGACAAAGCCCTGGCTGGGATGATTAAATTGGGTATGGGTCCTGCTTTTGAGCAGGGGGTTGGACTAGATGACCTCCTGAGGTCCCTTCCAACCCTGATATTCTATGATTCTATGACCCGGCACCTCTGGGCTGGGCAGTTCAGAGCCCCAGTACCTTTGGGCTGGGCAGTTCTGAGCCCCGGCACCTCTGGGCTGGGCAGTTCTGAGCCCCGGCACCTCTGGGCTGGGCAGTTCAGAGCCCCGGCACCTCTGGGCTGGGCAGTTCAGAGCCCCGGCACCTCTGGGCTTGGCAGTTCAGAGCCCCGGCACCTTTGGGCTGGGCAGTTCTGAGCCCCGGCACCTCTCGGCTGGGCAGTTCACAGCCCCGGCACCTCTGGACTTTCTGGTTTCAGCCTTGCCTCCCCAGACGTCCGCAGCCACACTCCCTGTATTCGTCCCTCTTAACAATAACCCCCATGACTCCATGTAAGTCCCTGCACTGTTCCTGCATCCTCTGCCCAGCTTCTCATCTGAGGGCCCTCCTCCACAGTGCACCCCTCCGTGAGAAGGGTTGGGGAGAGAGAGCCTGTCTGTGCTGGACAGGCAGAGAGACAGGAAGCCCCTGAGTTAATAACATGCATGAGCTGCCACCTGCTCACTTTACAAATAAATTAACAGAAAGATCACACCAGGTCTGTTCAGACAGAGACGGCAATAGACACCACTGATGAAATTCTGGCCCCACTGAACTTGATGGGAGTTTTTAAACCGGCTTCAAGGGAGCCAGGATTTTACTCCAGATTACCAATCTGTTAGAGCTAAATTTTAGCAACTCAGCCAGGCTGCCTTTCAGATTGTCCACAGATTGAGTGTTCCACAGATAAGTGCTTTTGTGAACCTACCTCTAACCAGTACACCACACTGTCTTCCCAGAGCCAGGGATAGCATTCCCGATCTCCCGTTTTCTACTGCCACGGCTGATGCTGCTGGGTGTATCTATTTTCCAAATATCCATGTGAGGCTATGGCATGTTTCAGGAGGTGAGTGATGACACAGACCCCTTCACAGAAAATCCCTGCAGCTGATTGGTTATGGTGTCACAGCTAAATATGTCTGGTTGCTCTTGGTGCTGTTACTTTTGATAGTTTGTCCAGAAACATTGGGCTCCTTAACTGGGACCTCAGCACTGTTAAAGCAGATGAACTTCCCAAATGCATGGAACACATGATAGTCAAATGATACCAGGGTGTATGTGGGGAATGGGCATCAACCATGGGTCTTGCTGGGTGGTTCTTCATTTATCTGTGGTATTCGCCTCTGGCAGTGAGAGTCGGGTAAATACTTTGAACCCTATTCCTACCTGTTGGGGCTGGGCAAATCTGGGGCTGGAAATTTGGCTCCAGGATGAACCCCCCAGCAGGCCCCTGAAAATCCCCTACCTGAGTTGTCTCCACTGCAGCCACTGGGAGGAAGGGACAGTTGGGAGCTAAACATGAACGTTATGCTGCCACCTGTTGGGGTGAGAACGGGTTTTGGGGGACTTCAGAAGGGGCTTTCAGGGTTACAGTGACCAGCCAGCTTTCACGGAGCATGGTACATTTATTTTAGGACAAAAACATTACAGAGAACACATATCATAAAACAACCACCAGTCTGCGTGCATGCTAGCTTATCAGCCGTCTTCCACAGGGCGACCCTCTTAGGTTTCCAGTCCTTCCAGCAGGGTTTTGCCCTCTTGGCTACTAACTCATAATGAGGTATTTCAATCAGCTCAGGCTGGCCCTTTATACCACATGCTCCTTCTTTGACTCCTGGGCCTCTTGAACCTGGTCTGAGCCAGTCTATGCAATTCATCCCAGGAAGTGGTGCTGCTCTTGGGCTGTTTAACTGCCCTGGGATCTTCAGTAATTAACCACCACTGGATTTAGTTCTTGGAGAAGCTCAGTTATCCTCCCCCATGGGGCAATCATATAATCCCTACTTCCCAGAGGTACATATAACATTTAGAGATACAAAATGCCGATGGCACATATCATTGCAATAGTCTTTTAGGTTTCCATACTTCCAAGGTCTTGCATCTGTCACAGAGGGTGTTAGACTAAAGGCATCTCCTTTGGTCTCCTGCCACAGGATTAACTAAAAGCAATTCTTTCTTTCATCAGCCTCGGGATCTGAGTACCTGCGGTATTAATTCGATTGGAAATCGATGATCCAAAAAAACCCGGAAACAATACCATGATCAACTCCGTCTACGTTTAGTGAAGTTAGAATAGTTTTAGCCTCAGTTATATGTTTGTTTAATCTACATATTTGCTTGATTATATTTTCTAATAAAACCCATGCAAAGTACACAGCACTCGCTTGTTTTTTTTCAAATTGCAACATGGTCCAGAAACACAAAGAAGAAGGTAAATTAGCTGAGTTCTCTGACAGCTGCATGGCCCTCTCCTGAAATTAAACCTTTAGCCCTCACAAGAGACGTCAGCAGAAGGGCTGGGGAGTGATTCCTCCTCAGGAAGGAAACTGAACAGGTCTGGGGAACTTCTCCCCTGGCCCTAGAGCCCAAAAATGAAGGAAATTCCTGGGGGACCAGGACAGACCAGGAATGTTTTATTAGACATTAATTTGGGCAAAAAAGTAACCTACTGAGGTAAAAACATCAAAGAGACATAAAGACTCCCTGAAACTTGAAACAGACCCATGAGACCCCATCTCTCCCACCCTCTGTCCACAGAGGAAGGGAGAATCCCTTCCCAGGAAGCTATTTCAGGCATAATCCCCTGCCTGAAACATGGACAAGGGACTCAAGCTAACTCAGGAAAGCCGTCCTCCCAACAGAGAGAGCTGGGAAGGGACAGGAGAGTATCAGAGAATAATACAATACAGTAATAATAATAATAATAATAATAACAATAATAATGACATTTTCCCTCTCTTGGAACCTCTGTCCTCCTGAGCCACTGACCACACCATGATCAGCGACCCCTAACGCCTTCACACGGAGGTGGGCATCTGCTATTATCCCCATTGTAGAGATGGGAGGAATGGACCCACAGAGAGGAAAGGAAGTGAATGGACCAAGGTCGCACAAGGGGACACTAGCAGAATTGGGTATTGAATCCAAGAGCCGTGACTGCCAGGCTCTCTACCCTCACTCCACTCAGATTTGAGACTAGATCCCAGGAGTCCAGAGAACCAATAGCCTCTGCTCTACTACACCATACTGCCCACACCGAAACAGCAAAATCCTTTCGGGGGAATGTATTCCTATGAGTTCTCCGGTCTCTGTCCCCTGCCTCCCTGCAGCTGCAGAGACGTCAAATAAATTGAGCATCACTGACATCCTGTCACTTCAGATCAGCAGCTCTTGGTGTTTTATAACTAATTGTAAGCAGTTGTAAGCAGGACACAAGAAGTAATTCTTCCCCTCTATTCCATGCTGATTAGGCCCCAACTGGGCGCCACATTTCAGGAAAGATGTGGACAAATTCGAGAAAGTCCAGAGAAGAGCAACAAAAATGATTAAAGGTCTAGAAAACATGACCTATGAGGGAAGACTGAAAACATTGGGTTTGTTTAGTTTGGAAAAGAAAAGACTGAGAAGGGACATGAGAACAGGTTTCAAGCTTAAAAGGTTGTTACAAGGAGGAGGGAGAAAAATTGTTCTTCTTAACCTCTGAGGATGGGACACGAAGCAATTGGGCTTAAATTGCAGCAAGGGAGGTTTAGGTTGGACATTAGGAAAAACTTCCTAACTGTCAGGGTGGTTAAGCATTGGACTAAATTGCCTCGGAAGGTTGTGAAATCTCCATTACTGTCTAACCTGTTCTTAAAGATCTCCAAACACCTGTCAGGGATGGTTTAGAGATAATACTTGGTACTGCCATGAGTGCAGGGGATTGGACTAAATGACTTCTTGAGGTCACTTCCAGTCCTATGATTCTATAAACTACAGTCCTGCAGGGCCCCTCGCACAGAAATGTATCCCCACTGATACACCTGCTCCCCCCAGACCCTGAAATGACTCATCTACCAAGTACCCAGTGTTTCTTCCTCCCCTTTCCCTCACCGACCACCCTCCACTGAAACCCAGACCAGCCACCAGTCTGCTTCCCCTGCCCAGACCATCCTCAGATGAAACATGCTTCCAGAGGGCTGAGATCCAGTGCCCCACAGGAAGAGCTCCCAAAACCTTCTATGCTGTGTGCACTTTCTGGTGGGACTTCAGCGAATCCTTCCCCTTGTAGCTTTTCCCACAGACAGAACATTTATAGGGTGTCTCTGCTGAATGGATTCTCTGATGTCTAAGGACTCCCCAGCTCTGACTGAAGCTTTTCCCACATTCAGAGCAGTTATAGGGCTTCTCTCCTGTGTGGATTCGTCGATGTCTAATAAGTTGGGAGCTGTTACTAAACCTTTTCCCGCAGTCGGGGCATTTATAGGATCTCTCTCCAATGTGGATTCTTTGATGTACGATGAGGCTGAATCTTTGTTTAAAGCTTTTCCCACAGTCGGGGCATTTATAGGGTGTCTCTCCTGTGTGGATTCTCTGGTGCGAAACCAGGTTTGAGCTCTGAGTGAAGCTTTTCCCGCACTCGGGGCATTTATAGGGCGTCTCTCCTGTGTGGAGTCTCCGGTGTTTACTAAGGTCTGAGCTCCGCTTGAAGCTCTTCCCGCAGTCGGGGCACGTATAGGGTCTCTCCCCTGTGTGGATTCGTCTATGTGAAATAAGGGATGAGAAATTAGCAAAGCATTTTCCACACTCAAGGCAGCTATAGGGCCTGTCTCCTGTGTGGACTGAGCGATGGGAAATAATGTCTGAGTTCAGCGTGAAGCTTTCCCCGCAGTCAGGGCATTTATAGGGTCTCTCTCTCGTGTGGATTCTCTGATGTACCAGAAGATTTGATATCTGAGCGAAGCTTTTCCCACACTCTGGGCAGTTATACAGTTTCTCTTTCGTGTGGACTCGTGGTTGGACCATGATTTCACTAGGATCCTCCAAACTTCTCCCTTGGCAAGTAGATTCATCCTTTCTCTTCCTTTGCTGGTTGCTCTTCTGCCTCTCTGACCTGCGCTGAGTCTCACCGCCTTCTTCTTGCTCAGGACTCAAGGAAACATCCCCTTTGGATTTTCCCGATACTGTCCCACATGGTTCCACTTGCTCAGGACCTTCCTGCTGTGGATTCTCCTCCTGTTTCTCACCCCCCGTCCCATCACCTGCTGGGAAAGAGAATCCAGACATGAAATGTTCTCTCTGCCATGGAGAAAGGAACCCTCAAAAAGGGGAATGGGAAAGGGGGGAACAAACCAAAATAACTGCTGGGGAGACTGAAAAATCAGGAGCCAAATCCCTCGCCAGAAGAGTGGAGGGGACCAATTTTGCCTCCACAGCCAATCTGAACACTTAATGGCAAGGGAGCGACTGCCTGGCCTCAGGGTGGATGGGAAGCCATAAGCAATACCTGCTGTGAGGATACGATACCTGCTGAGGACTTGGGTGAGATGAGGCAGAATACTGGGGCGTGCACAAAGCCTTTATGGGAATCCCAGCCACTCACTCCAGTGACCGATAATTTCTGCATCCGTTTCACCAACTCCTCACCTGTGTTCATGTTTTAAGGATCTCCCTTTCCTCAAAGCCTGGAGATTTGAGATTCACAGCTCTGCCTCTGGTTCCAGATAGGAAATCACATTACCTTTGGGAAACTGGAAAAATCTGCTCCACTGAAAGAGAAACAGGTGAGACCAGTATTACCTTTGGGAAACTGGAAAAATCTGCTCCACTGAAAGAGAAACAGGTGAGACCAGTTAGTTGGAGACAGCATCATTTACAGATGTCTCGAGTGGGTGGGAAAATATTCCTGGAGACCCTTAGTGGGGTCAGATGGTTCCTGAGAGATGGGCGGGTCCCACTGTAGACAATTTAGGGAGCGCCACACACTGGGGGATGTTCTGACTCTGGCATGGAAGTTGTGCCACCTCTTATACCTTTCTGAACCTGCCAAGACCAAAGCCCTATCCTGGCATGGACCCAATCCTGGGAAGAGAGGGACACGCAAAATCTGTGCACCTTGGTTTAAAAACACAGCGAAGTACATACACCCCATCTGCCCCATTCCCTCCTACTTTAATATTGCTCTTAAACCAGAAAGTTTGGTCTCAGGAAACAGTTTCCAAAAGAAGCCCATGTAGAATGCAAGGAGCACAGGACACACTGTCTTGAAAACTACCTAAGGCAGGGTTCAAACACACAGTGCATGGGTCAGGGTCCATAACCACAGTATACCCCCGTCACTGCCTGGAAAGCCTCTGGCTTCAACCGTGCCCAGATCTTGCTGCACATGTGAATTTCACTCTGCTAAGTGCCTCACTTTGGAACATGCTGACCTGAAGTTCCAGACTCTAATGTTAATAACTTTTTCAATATGGCTTTCCTGAAAGGGCACTAGGTGCCATGTGCGAGCTGAGATAAACCCCAGGTGACTGAGATCAATTTGAGGAGGGGTTAGTGCCCTAGGTGTGCAAAGAAACATGGTAGCTGAATGAGACTTGGGGGGTTTTTCAGTAAAATATTGCTTTTTCAGGGGGGGTTACTCAGGAAATCCTTGCTCAAATGATCCCAGATTTGAACATTATCACTACCCCAGTACCCGTATGAGGCTCAGAAAATGTCAAGACAATCTTCAAATTGATTGTATCGCTCTCAGAATATAGTAGAGCCTCAGAGTTATGAACAGCAAAGTTATGAATAGACCGGTCAACCACACACCTCATCTGGAACTGGAAGCACACAATCAGATAGCAGCAGAGACCAAAAAAAAAAGGGAAATACAATACAGTGCTGTGTTAAATGTAAATTACTAAAAAAAATAAAGGGAAAGCAGCATTTTTCTTTTGCATAGTAAAGTTTCAAAACTGTATTAAAGTCAATGTTCAGTTGTAAACTTTTGAAAGAACAACCACAATGTTTTGTTCAGAGTTTCGAACAACTTCTGCTCCCGAGGTGTTTGTAACTCTGAGGTTCTACCATAGTCCACTGTTAAACAGAAAATGACGCTTTATCTTAACTACAGCAGAATTGTCGGTCTGCTATATTTCGGGTTAGTCGCATTCAATTTTCATTTTGTTACAATTCTGATGGATAATACTGATGTTTATTTTAAAGCACATTTTTAGATTTTTATCTATTTACATTTTTGCAGTGGTATGAAATGGGGGGGGGGAGGTGGTCAGGCAATTATTTAAAGACAGCAGATATTCAGATTCCAAAATGTAAAGCTTTCAAAACCGCTAAATTGTCAGCATCACAGGTCAGAACAGACATAGTAAATATCCTTCAATCAACAAATCAAGCCTTGTTTTACTGTACATTCACTAGTCTGTTTGTAACGAGCCTAATTCAAAAGGCTACGTCACTGGATTTTTCACTCTAATAAGTTTTCAAACTGCATTTTTCTTACTTTGGCTATTTGTAAATTTTGAGTATTATTGAGGGAAATATTTTTTCATTGGTTTGTGTCTGTGAAATAGATGTTTACTGACATTTATCAATAAATATGCAAGTCTTCCACCCCTAGCTATGTTGCTGTATAAAGGGGGAAAGAGACGGGCCCTGTTGTGGAATAGGGGATAGAAGCCATGTAACACCTCCCTGTCCCATCACCCCCTCTCCAGCCACTTCCCTGTATCCACCCTCATACTGTGTCATCCAGGATGTCCACAAAGCAAAAGACCCCCCTGCAGCAGCCAGTCTCAGAGCCTATGTCAACTGCGCTATGAGGCTAAATATAACAGTGTAGACATTCCAACTCAGACTAGAGCCCATGCTCTGAAACCTGGTGAGAGGGGAGGGCCTCAGCCCGAGCCTGAATGTCTACACCATGGGGAGCCCTGGAGTGTGAGCCCCAGTAGGTTGTCACAGGCTCTCAGACTCACTGCTGCAGGCATTTTTTGTGTGTGTAGACACACCCTGTGAGTCCAATCTGTCTCTTCCTACCATGCTGGCACCCCCGTGCCATCCCCCACCCATTCCGCACTCAGAACAGCCCCCAGAGCCCTTGCAGACGGTCCCATGTACCTTTCTTTTTCTCCGTCTGAGCTCGGTCCAGCTACAGTTATCTCAGGGTCCTGGCAAGCTCGTCTCTGGGGAGCGCTCTTAGCCAAGCTGTATACAAAAGAAGAGACTTGACTGCAATGCTGGAAAAATGTCTGGTGACTTCCCCACAGTACAGACCTGGCCCCAGACCTGAAGAAGAGCCCTGTGCAGCTCCAGCTCTTCTCTCTCCCCAACAGAAGTTGGTCCAATAAAAGATATCCCCTCCCCCACCTTGGCTCTCTAAACCCATAAAGACTTTCCCCAAATGCTAGAAAGGAACCCAACCAAAGGAGCCGCTCTAGGGGATCCCCCCAGCAGCGCTGAGGCCAGGCAGAGGCAGGAACTGGCTTTTCCTCTCCCTGCTCCTCCCCTTCTCCCCAGGGAAGTCAATCTGCCCGGGGTGCTGCAGGGAATGGGGCTGGGCAGGGCTGGGAGCCGGGAACCTCCTTCCCCGCTGATTGCTCCTGCTGCCCCTGCCAGTCTCTGCCCCTGTCTCCCTCCTGCCCCCTCCCCTCCCCTCGGGCTGGGAGACTCGGTCCCTGGCCCGGCCCGTTCACTCTCCCGGCTCCTGCAGGCGCTCAGGGGGGCAGAGCCTGGGGGGGTCAGGGAGGGCGGCAGCTCCGGGACTCGCAGACCCCCCCCCCCCCCGGAGCAGAGCTGGGGCGAGGAGGGGCCGTTGGTGCAAAGTCACTTTCCCCCCCAGCCCCGGCCTTTCCCCCGGGTCTCTCCCCACCTGCAGGCTCCGGCTCAGGGGCTGGTGTCGGCAGAGGCCGGGGCTGCCCCAGGGGCTGGTTCCAGCCCCCGGAGAAAGTCCTCCCGGCTGGGCACAGGGGGCGCTGGGGAAGGGCTCTCCCCGCACACACCCCGCTGGGCAGCGGCAGCGGCTCAGCCTGTCTCACAATGGAGGTAGCAGGCGCAGCTTCTTCCAGCAGCGGTGATCACTGACCGGTCAGGAGCCGCGCACTGTCTTGTCTTCTGCTGCGATCTCTGGGATTGTGGCAGCCTCTGGGAACCCTAAACTCTCGCTGCTGCCAGCACCGGATGCAACCGCTCTCAGCTGAGCCAGCCGTTTCCTGTGCCCGTGGATACCAACCCGGGCGGCAGCAGCCTTCCTTCGGGACCAGCTGTAACCAAAGCCTAGAGCATCTCTTCGCAGGGAAAGAGGGGCGGGGGGAAATGAGGGTGTGAAATAGATTTAATAATTGTATTAAGATGATGTTAAAATTTAAAAAAATGGAACAGAGTTTAAGCATAGAAGTTTCTGGTTATCAAGGAATAACTTACCGATTATCAGGGGGTGCGAAGTTCCGTTTAGGATTTAGGATCGGGTGGCGTAAGGAATATATAATCTGCAATATCCCCGATTGGGGGTAAAAGGTTAACGGGTCAAAGTACAGACACTGAGATAGGAGGGTACGTTGTTCATATAACTGCTCTGGTCAGGCGTGGAGTACAATGAGTGGATACGATGATGAGGATGGATTGACCCTCATTTGGTGAGGATTAATGTTCAGTGAGTTTATGGTTTCAGTTCATATGGAAAAAGTCTCTCGGCCCCTTTCTCATAGTTGATGCACGATGTCGCTCCGGCTCACCCCTCCTGGTACTGTTGGTGGCCGGTGATGTGTTCGATGTAGATGTCCCTGGACCATCGGATGGTGTCTGAGACCATGAGGCACCGCATAAGCCATGCATAGCGTTGACCAATCCCACAGGTCTGCAGCACACACTCGTTGCAGGGGTCCCAGGCACCCAGGGCTCCGACAATCAGGGCATCCATCTGCACCTTGTAGCCGTTCGTTCTCAGGGTGTAGGCAAGGGGGGCGTATTTTTCCAGCTTACGAGCTTGGGCTTCGCGGAAGGCCGGGATCCTGTTCTCAAAGGAGACCGTGATGTTGACGAGGATGATCTTTTTCTGGGCCTCATTGGTGATGACCACATCAGATTGCAGCTGGCTTTTGGTTCTGGGGATGGCACAGTTCACGGCGACCTCCCCTAGGTGCAGTGCGATGGCTTTCACGAGGCGGTTCTGGATGGCACTGTGGTGTAGCTGCCAGGCTCTGGAGTGGGGCTTGCAGCTGCACAGGACGTGGGGCAGGGTCTCGTTGGAGTAGCCGCACTTCCTGCAATGTTTGTCTCAGTTCCTGTGGCAGGCGGCTCCGTTGAGCGGGACACAGTTGAGCCGGGCACGGTGGATGAACCGCCAGTCGGTGAAATGGGTGAAGCCGCCCCCGGTGAGGAAGTGGTTGCTGGCATCCCACTTGCTGGTCAGTTGAAGGCTTTACCCTGGTCCAGTTTACGCTTCACGGTTTCCATGTACAGTGAGTGGATGGCTGCCTTCAGGGTCCTCTCCAGCATGCCCCTGGTGCTCGGGGTGATGATGGTGTTGTCGTCGGACCTGATCTGTGGCACCAGGACTCCCAGCTCCTGGCGCTCCTCGCACCAGTCCCAGCAGCAGCCAATGTGCTTCCCCAGGTGACGCATGGCATTGCGAGTGTGGGACCACAATGAAGCGATGTTGCGCCCATCCCGTCTGAATTCGCCATCCAGGGAGCTGTTCAGGAAGGTGGCAATGTCTTGGTTGGAGGGGGCTCTGCCGATCCGCTTCTTTGTCATGTCATGGAGGGCATTCGCTGCGATGTTCCTCGCCATAGCGTCAGGACACGTCAGCAGGCGGAAGGCATGGGTGATCACCACAATATCGCACAGGTTGCCCATGTGGGAGACGTTGGCACTGTCATGCCTGTGGGCAAAGTAGACTAGCTCGTTGCTGGCTCTCTGGGGAAGGAACAGCCACTTCTTCACCAGCTGCCAGATGATCTTGTCTGCCTTGTTGAGGGGCACCTTCCCCACGGCAGATCCCCTTAGGACGAACGAGATGCGGGGGATCAGGAAAGTGTTCAGGGCATTTATCTTCTGCCACGGTGCCAGCAGGGAGGAGTCGATCTGGTGGCATCCTGCAAGATCTCCTGGATGGTGTCCTCGGGTGTCTGCCGGACATGGAAACCCGTTGGCGTGCGGAGGTGCTGGTATGGCTGCCCCTCTGCCAGGGGAATGACAGACTCGCCCTAGATCTGGAACCCCGTCATCTGCACCGAGTCCCTTTTGCTGCCATCGATGTGGAGAGTTGTGCACTTCTTTGCATTGAAGCGGAGCCCCATCCAGTTGGCAGTTCGACTGGTGGCATTTAGCGTACCGTGGAGGCTCTTGGGGTCGTCCGCGGTCAGGACCAGGTCACCTGCGTAAGCCAGGACACTCACCCTCTCACCGTGGAGGTTGAAGCCATCTGTGCCATTGGAGATTGCTTGCAGCAACAGCTCCATGGCGAGGTTAAAGATGATGGGGCTGAGGGGACAGCCCCGCTTAACTCCACTCCGGATCGGGATCTCGGCGGTCTCCCCTTCGACCAAGCGAATGGTGGTGCTGCATCCCTCACACACCTCTCAGATCACATGAAGGAAGTTGAGGGTGTGAAATATACTAAAGCCCCGTTAGGAACCTCCCCCATCTGCCTTCAGGCCTGGCAGGCTGCAAATTAACATCCATGTTTCACTTCAGCTCTTCCCAGCCCTCCTCCGGGGGAAATTTGATCCTTTCCCCCTCGGAGATCTGGAAAAGTCACATTTGCTCAGGCTGCTGCCCTCTCTGGCCATGGGAATCTGCTCCCTGCTCTAAGAGGAGGGGTGGGTAGGTGGGGTAAAGGAGGAAACCACCCTGAGATAAGGAGGGGCAGAGGGGGGGAAAGTTGCCACACATGGGATGTGCCATCTGCAGTGGCAGCCGACATAAATTGTGGGCAAAGGCGGATTACGGTTTTGTGAGGCCCTGAGTCAGAGCAAGTGGGGTCCCCTCCCCACCCCTCTGCTTGCTGTCCCCACCCCCACCCCTGGAGCTCTTGCTGGGTGAAATGGGGTTGGGGTGCAAGGGCTTGCCCTGCCCCACCTGCCAGGCACTCCTGCCGGGGAGCGGAATCCGGGCACAGGGGCTTCCCCGACTCCCCGGAAGGAGTGCTGGGTGGGTGGAGCTGGGCAAGCCCCTCCAGCCCAACCTTGCTCCCCAGGAGGAGTACCGGGCAGGCAGAGCAGGTTGGGGTGTGGGGGTGCCCATTTTTCCAGGACCCTCAATTGGCCATGTTCCCTGGGTGCAGGCCCCGTTGGCCCAGTGGCTAATCCACCACTGGTTGTGGGGGGCAGGCAGAGGGGCTTGTGTTTCTCCCAGGAGGGTTCATCTCAGCCACCTGGGCTATGGTGTTAAAGGAACAGTGTAGGTAAAATTTGTCATCATTTTCATGTATATTTTTGGTGTTTAAAAGAGGGGTGGGTTTGATTTGTTTTTGTTTTTTTTTGGCAAGTTATGTGAATGTGACATGCCTGCTCTGGGCCTTATAGCAGCTCAGAAATTGGCTGCAGCTGCTCTTGTGACTTTCATAGGATCATAGAATATCAGGATTGGAAGGGACCTCAGGAGGTCATCTAGTCCAACCCCCTGCTCAAAGCAGGACCAATCCCCAAGTAAATCATCCCAGCCAGGGCTTTGTCAAGCCTGACCTTAAAAACTTCTAAGGAAGGAGATTCCACCACCTCCCTAGGTAACCCATTCCGGTGTTTCACCACCCTCCTAGTGAAAAAGTTTTTCCTAATATCTAACCTAAACCTCCCCCACTGCAACTTGAGACCATTGCTCCTTCTTCTGTCATCTGGTACCACTGAGAACAGTCTAGATCCATCCTCTTTGGAACCCCCTTTCAGGGAGTTGAAAGCAGCTATCAAATCCCCCCTCATTCTTCTCTTCCGCAGACTAAACAATCCCAGTTCCCTCAGCCTCTCCTCATAAGTCATGTGTTCCAGTCCCCTAATCATTTTTGTTGCCCTCCACTGGATGTTTTCCAATTTTTCCACATCCTTCTTGTAGTGTGGGGCCCGAAACTGGACACAGTACTCCAGATGAGGCCTCACCAATGTCGAATAGAGGGGAACGATCATGTCCCTCAATCTGCTGGCAATGCCCCTACTTATACATCCCAAAATGCCATTGGCCTTCTTGGCAACAAGGGCACCCTGTTGACTCATATCCAGCTTCTCGTCCACTGTAACCCCTAGGTCCTTTTCTGCAGAACTGCTGTCGAGCCATTCAGTCCCTAGTCTGTAGCGGTGCATGGGATTCTTCTTTCCTAAGTGCAGGACTCTGCACTTGTTCTTGTTGAGCCTCATCAGATTTCTTTTGGCCCAATCCTCTAATTTGTCTAGGGCCCTCTGTATCCTATCCCTATCCTCCAGCATATCTACCTCTCCTCCCAGTTAAGTGTCATCTGCAAACTTGCTGAGGGTGCAATCCACACCATCCTCCAGATCATTAAAGAAGATATTGATCAAAACCGGCCTGAGGACTGACCCTTGGGGTACTCCATTTGATACCGGCTGCCAACTAGACATGGAGCCATTGATCAGTTTCTGATGGGTGCTTCCTTTCCTGTAATCCACTGGAAGTGGAATTCCACTCCACTGACTTATTTTAAAAATGGTATTTGTATTACTCTGATTGTCCTTAGCACTCCATCATTTATCTGGTTAAACATAGTGCAGATGGATCTCATTGTGTTATTTAATGTATCGTTATGATGGGGAAATGATCATTCATTGATGCTTGTAGCTAAGCAATCACACCTCACGGTGTTTTTTACTGTAACATTTCCTATGTTCTGACTGTGGTTTTGTAACTTACTGCTTTTATTTCAGATTTGTTCTTTGTATTTTTCCTATAGCACAAGTTTATCTTTTGTTGTCACGGGACTTGAGTGCTGTCTGATTTCCTGGGTTACCATCAACATTTCTTCCATTTCCTTTGATCCACCAATGACATCTGCCTTTCTCAATCACTATTTTGCTTCTTTCTCCAGTGTGGAGATTGTTTACATTGGAGAGT